ACGTGCTAAATTTTCTCACAATATATATCTGGTAGTTTAAAGTTGCTCGTCTGTCCTCGTGTGGAATAGATGGAAATAGAATTCCACTTTACAAGCAAGATATCGAGGCTCGTAACTGAGAGGCCAACTTCTAAAATTAATGAAACTGGTGATTAATATTCGTTTTGCTGGCAGCATCAGCTAGAGAACTGGCCTATTTTCTTTATGCCTCAATGGAGTTAAGTCTGTCGTGTTGCGACCGACAACTGAGGATGTTCTCGGAAACTCATCTAATAAAGCAAATAAGTAGAAGGACAAACCTAAGAATCAAACAAGAGGAGAAGTCTTCTAAGCAATTGGAGAATAGTTTTCCCAATCTACTCATGTGCTCATTACTTTGAGTTCAAGGGACCATGCGATATCAAGCGAAGAACAGTCGTGCTAAGCTAATTCTACATGCATAAACACCTTGGTTATCGAGGACCCTATTGTGATTATTATAATTCTGTGTCCTCCAATTTTAAATGCGTGGACAACTCAACATACGTGGTATTAAGCAACCTTCTTGTTTGAAGAGTATAGTTTAGGACTTTGTAGAGTTTCAACCCTCTAGCCAGTACAAATAGAGCCCCTCAAGTCCCGTAACATCCCACAGCAATCTTCTTGCGCTTGCTAGTTTGGACTAATTAGTGCGAGTGCATTTCATACCACATTTCCCTCAAACAATATGAGCTACGCATACCCATACTACTCTCCGCCACCGCCGCCTCCATCGACTGCGGTATGTAACACCACTGCTCCTCCGCCGCCACAGTCACCTCCACCACCACCACCACCATCACCCACCACCACCACCACCATCACCACCACCACCACCACCACCACCACCACCATCACCACCACTACCACCACCGCCGCCGCCACCATCGCCACCATCACCACCACCACCATCCCCTACACCACCTCCATCATACATTATACCAGACCCCATTTATGGCCAATCACCACCTATTTACGGCACACTGCCTCCATCGCTCCCACCTTCACCATACATCAATGCACCCCCTGGTGGTGGCGGCCACCACGCGGCTGTTATCGCCGCATGTGCATCATTAGGTGGTCTCTTCATGCTGGCACTCCTCGGGATCGGTCTCTTTTGCCTGGCCAAGAGGAGAAAGAGGCCAGTCATGGTTCCCGGACTAGCACCTTGTGTAGATGGGGAGGAGCGTGAAGTTGTCCGCGAGGCAATAACCACAGGGCCGTACGGCGAGCAAGCCGTGACCGTGGACATCGAAGATGACACAATAATTCACAGTGGTGCGGTCAGTGGAGCTGCGGCCAGTGCTAGTTACAGCGGTGCCAGCGGGCCTGCATACGAACCAAGTCATCCTCCGGGATATGAACGTCCCTACTGAGCTCATGTTACCTTCTAGGTTTGAGCGACACTATTTGATTTCCTCATCACAAATTTATTGCTCTGTCTATTCATTGTTATTGGGTTGTCGTGGTAAGAGTTTAATAAGCTCAATGTAATTGGGCTGGTCTGTAATGTGTTCATATTCCCACCTCAAGTCATTGTTGTATTATAAAGACAAAATAAGTGTTTATTTGATGCTCATTGCCATTACAAATAATGTGTTCGAGCTTCCATATGAATAATATAGCTCGATGACAGCCCGTCAAAATTAGACTGCATGGTTGACACGGTACATAGGAAGTTGGTTTTCTTGGTGGGGTATTAGAACAAAGCAAAAGCGAGCGATTAGCTTGTGTAATTGATGACTTGTACTACGATAGTCACAGTGGTCCTTGGAGGAACAATATCATCATATAATCTGCGTCAGGATACATGAACGGTGAGCATACATCTTCTTTTTTCCATGAAATAAAGGACATATATCATTTCCAAGAACTCTTAGTTTATTATCTTTCGCAAATATATCTTAGCTCTTTAAAACTGTATTGCCGAGGGGAAAAATTACCAAAAAAGTTCTAAACTTATTGAAATTGTACCAATTCAGTTCTAAATCTTTTTTTTGCGGGGTACGTTCACTAGAAGTCCTAAAACTTGATGCGAAAGTACAATTGAATTCTAAAACTTTTAAAAAGTGTAATCAAGTCCTGAAACTTATCAAATTGGTTTAATCAAGTCCTAAAGTTAACACCGTCAATTTGTCTAACAAAAAATGCTAACGTGGCATTTTTAAATAAATTTATCTCTCCTACGTGGCATTTATTATTATTATTTTATTCAAATTATTTAAATTAAATTTAGAAACTAAAAAAAATCTAAAATTTACTTAAAAAACAAAACTGGAAAAAAAAAGTACTAGCACTTGCATGTGGGAGTTGCGGTTGCCGCCCAACGTCGAAGGGGCCAACTGAGGTCGCCGACCAAGAGTGAGGGTGGCTGACCCTCGCCAGCCTCGGGCGAGGCCTCATCGACCCCAGGCGAAGGCCGAGCATCTCCCAAATTTAGCTGCCCTCAACACAAATTTGGGTGAGCCTCACCAACCCCAAACGAGGGTTGGTGACCCTCGCTAGGCCGGTGATGCCTCGCCCGGGCCTAGTGAGGGTCACCAACCCTCGCTTGGGGCCGGCGAGGCCTCACCCAGGGCAAGCGATGGTCGCCAGCCCTAGGTGAGGGCCAGCGTCACCTAGATCCAGATGCCCTCGCCCTGGCCTAGCGAGGGCTGCTTACTGGCCCTCGCTCGGGGCCAATGAGGCCTCACCCGAGGCCGACGGGGGCCGAAGAAGGCCAGCCACCCTCGTCCAAGGTCTGCGACCTTCGCCAACCCCTCCGGCAATAAGCTGCGGCACCCCACTAGTAAAGCACCTTCTCTGCTTTTTTTTATTCTGTTTTGTTTTTTAATTTTTAGCCATTTTAATTTAATTTAAATAAGATTTGAATAAATAAAAAATGCCACATTGGAGAGAGAAATCATTTAAAAATGCCACGTTAGCATTTTCTGTTAGACAAATTAATGATGTTAATTTTAGGACTTGATTGAGCCAATTTGTTAAGTTTTGGGACTTTATTGTACTTTTTAAAAGTTTTAGGACTCAATTGCACTTTCATAACAAGTTTTAGGACTTTTAGTGAACATATCCTTTTTTTGCTAATTCAGTCCTAAAACTTTGTTTTGCCAATTTATCCTAAACCTTTTCCATCGGGCCAATTTTGGCTAACCGGTGCTGATGTGGACGCCAGCCAACGCTGATGTAGATAATTTTTAATAATATTTTATTCTATTTTTTCGAATTTTTTTAATTAATTTTTTTCTTTATTTTTCTTTTTCCTTTTCTTCCTTCTTTTCTTTTTTTTTCCCCGTGGTGGCCAGCAAGGCATGCGGGCCACTGGGTGAGGGCTGCGAAGTCCTCACCCGATCGCCAGCGAGGGTCACGGCCCTCAAGCCTCATGCCCATACGAAGAGGCGCGGCCGCGGGCGAGGCTAGCCTCGCTAGGGTCATAAGGCTTAGGGGTCACGTACACGGTGGCCTCGCCCATATCTGGGCAAGACCAGCCTCGCCCTCAACTTGCAAGGCCATGACCGCCTTCGCCCGCGGCTCTTGTCAGAGCCTCGCCGGCCACTGTGGAGAAAAAAGAAAAAAAAAAGGAAGAAAAGAAAACATAAAATGAAAAAGAAAAAATAAAATTTGATAAAAAAATTCGAATAAAATGAAATATTATTAAAATTATCCACGTCAACATCGGTAGGATGGCTGGCGTTCACATTAGCGCTGGCAGACCAAAATTTGTCAGATGGATTGATTTGGCATAAAAACAAAATGTTTAGGAGTGAATTGGCAAAAAAACAGTTTAGAACTGAATTGACACAATTGCAATAGGTTTATAATTTTTTTTTATAATTTCCCCTCAAAATGTCATAATGATACTTGCTCAACCGTAATGATTATACCCTTAAAGGAAAGGATAATTGTCCAAAAAGTCTTAAACCTTTTCTACGGCGATCAATTTAATCCTAAATTTTTTTATTGTGCCAATTTAAACCTAAAATTTTTAACTGTGCTAATTTTGTCCTATACTTTTTGACGATTTGCCAATTTAGTTCTAAACATTTTGATAATTTGCCAATGTAGTCCTTCTAGGTAATTTTGGCCGAAGGACTACGTTGGCAAATTAATAAAAGGTTTAGGATTAAATTGAAAAACCGTCAAAAAGTTTATGATTGAATTGGCACAATTAAAAGGTTTAGGACTAAATTAGCCGCCATAGAATAGGTTTAGGATTGAATTGGCATAACTAAAAGGCTTATGACTAAATTGACCACCGAACAATAGGTTTATGACTTTTTGGATAATTTTCCCCTTAAAGAAATAACTACACATTTATCTATCTATATCATGAAGTAGCCGGCTGATTTAATTGACTATCATCAATGGTAGACTTGGAGATCTAACTAATGAGCTGACCACCCTAGATAACAAAACAATCAAACATAGAAAGTCAATGGACAAGAGAAAGAACATATAGTTGTGCACATGCTAAATTTTCTTGTATGTGGTAGTTTAGATTTGATCTGGTCTGTGCTCGTGTGGAATAGAAGGAAATGAAATAGATTTCCACGTTAGAAGTACAATATTGAGGCTCGTAATTGAGAGGCCAACCTCTAAAAATTAGTGAAACCGGTGATTAATATTCGTTTTGCTGGTAGCATCAATTAGATGATTGGCCTATTTCTTTATGCCTCAATGGTGTTCTGTTTGTCGAGTTGGGACTTGCAACTGAGGATGTTCTTGGAAACTCATCTAATAAAGCAAAAAAGTAGGAGGGCATACCTAAAAATCAAACAAGAGGAGAAGTTCTCGTAAGCAATTGGAGAATTGTTTTTCTATTTTTGTCATGTGCTCATTACTTTGAGTTTGAGGGACCCATGCGATATTCGAGCGAAGAATACTCGTGGGAAGCTAATAATGCATGTTTGAACACCATGATTGTCGAGGAGTTTATTGTGATTAGTATAACTTTGTGTCCTCCAATTTTAAATGGGTCGACAACTCAACATACATGGTATTCAGCAACCTTCTTGTTTGAAGAGTAGTTTGATTCTTCGTAGAGTTTTAGCCCTCCAGCCAGTACAAATAGAGCCCCTCAAGTCCCATAACATCCCACCACCAATCTTCTTGCACTTGCCAGTTTGGACTAATTAGCGCAAAGTGCGTCTCATACCACCTTTCAAGCGGACAATATGAGATACCCATACTACTCTCCGCCACCGCCGTCGCCACCGCCTCCGTCTACTCCGGGATGTAACACCACTGCTCCTCCTTCGCCGCCGCCGCCACCTTCGAGCTACCAGCACAAGCCACCGCCTCCATCCACCCACCATCACCACCACCACCATCCACATGCACCTCCACCTCAGGTGCCGACGGGCACTCCACTTTCACCGCCGACTTATGTGACTCCACCACCAAAGGGCGATGCTCCACCTCCGTCTCCAAGCGGCGGTGCACCTCCACCTAAGTGGTTTTACCCACCAAGTCCTGGCAAGGGCACTCCAAGTTCGCCACCAAAGGCTTCACCTCCCAAAGCTTATCCACCAAGCCCTAGCAAGGGCACTCCAGGTTCACCACCAAAGGGCGGCGCTCAACCTCCGTCTCCAGGTGCTGGTGCACCTCCACCTAAGGGGGTTTACCCACCAAGTCCTTGCAAGGGCACTCCAGGTTCACCACCAAGGGGCGGCGCTCAACCTCCGTCTCCAAGTGGTGGTGCACCCCCACCGAAGGGGGTGTACCCACCAAGTCCTAGCAAGGGCACTCCAAGTTCACCACCAAAGGGCGGCGCTCAACCTCCGTCTCCAAGTGGTGGTGCACCTCCACCTAAGGGTGTTTACCCACCAAGTCCTAGCAAGGGCACTCCAAGTTCACCACCAAAGGCATCGCCTCCCAAAGCTTATCCTCCCAGCCCAAGCAAGGGCACTCCAAGTTCACCACCAAAGGCATCGCCTCCCAAAGCTTATCCTCCCAGCCCAAGCAAGGGCCCTCCAAGTTCACCACCAAAGGCATCGCCTCCTTATTCTAAGCACCCACCACCAACTCCAACCCCTAAACTACCTCCATCGTACCTTGCACCACCCCCCATATATGGCCAATCACCTCCTATTTACGGTGTACCGCCTCCATCGCTGCCACCTTCATCGAATATCAATGCACCCCCTGGTGGCGGCGGCCACCACACGATTGTTATCGCCGTTTGTGTATCATTAGGTGGTCTCTTCATGCTGGCATTCCTCGCGGTCGGTCTCTTTTGCATGGCCAAGAGGCGAAAGAGGCCGGTCATGGTTCCGGGACCACCTCCGTGTGTAGAAGTGGAGGAGCATGAAGTGGTCCACGAGACAATAGCCACTGGGCCGTGCGGCAAGCAAATCATGACTGTCAATATCGAAGATGATGTGATAATTCACAGTGGTGCCGTCAGTGGAGCAGCGGCCGGCGCTTGTCAAGGCAGTGCCAGCGGCCCTCCATGCGAACCGAGTCATCCTCCAGGACATCCACGTCCCTGCTGAGCTTACGTTACCTTCTTGGTTTGAGCGACTCTATTTGATTTCCACATTACAAATTTAGCGATCTGTCTATTCATTGTTATTGGGTTGTCGTGATAAGAGTGTAATAAAATTCAATGTAATCGGGCTGGTTTGTAATGTGTTCATATTCCCACCTCAAGTCATCGTTGTATTGAAAAGACGAAGTGTTTATTTGATACTCATTGCTATTACAAATAATATGTTGGAGTTTCCGTTTCCATATGAATGGTTAGCTCGATGACAGGCCGTAAAGATTGGTGGGGTATTAGACCAAAAGCAAAAGTGAGTGATAGCTTATGGAGGAACAATATGGAGTGGTTCAGGGTGGGAGAAATTTTATTGGTTGAATGTCGCCATTTGCATGCATGTGCTTCGAAGAGAGATGCCTCACTGTCACATCGAACATTAAGACAATGTACACAAAAATACAACGAAAGAAGAAGGGAAAAGGAAATCAAAAAGTCGCCCTTTAACAAAAGTCTCAAAAATCGTTAAATTCTCATATTGTTTATTAAGCTCATGTTGCTGAATTTTACTGCCTTTGGCATACTTAGATGAAGATCGTGGAGATTAGCTCAAATATTTGGCTGACAATCCCTCTAACAATATAGTCATTTAACGACCGAGATCTTGCTCGTCACAGAGAGAGAGAGAGAGGTGAAGGATTTGAAACTTTATTAAGATAATGTAATTTGTGTACATTACTTCTAGAGAACAAAAAGGTGTATATACCTTTAAAAATGGTGAGCTGTGGGGGCAAAAGAATGGCTTTGATGAACTTGTAATTGAGCAACTGTGATCACCTCCCAAAAAAATATGATGCCTTCTATCGAAATAACTTGACCTAAAATTATAATCTGGGGAGAATCCTCCAGCACAACCAGTCTCAATCAGAGCTATCATCTGATCCAGTCACTGCAAATTTGAGGCATGTGCTCAAGCCATCACTTTCTTCAGAAGCATGAGGATCAACAGGAGCAGAGACATTTCGAGCATGAACTTAGGACTCGCTGCGCGTTTGAGAAATTGTGCCCACCTGAAAGTTCAACCAGTACATAGCTGCTGGTAAAGCCTGTTATCCATTTCAGGATCCCCATCATAATCAGAGAAGTAGCAACCATTAACCATTCAAAAGTCGAATCAAATGAAAATACCCTTTTTTTTCTGGTAGAGAAATGTGAACATAGACATGTGCAATCCAAATGCACCAAAGTCCAAAACACTTGAGGGTCAGTCAATTTAACAAACATCACCTTCCAGAAACATGAACATTAGATGACAGACTCAGAAAAACCGAAATGGTCACGCATGTCAGGAGAAGTATTGCACAATCTATACCATGAAGACCACCATTATCTCAACTATTAAATATATAGGTTACACTGCGGGAACACATGATCAATGGTTTAAATGGACTTTGTCTACGTGGTCTAGATATATGATGTCAGACACTTAGGCTTTGTTTGGGAGAAAGGGAGGGGAAGAAAAAGAAAGGTAGGTATGAAAACTTGGAAGAATCTGAATTTTCTAGCGAGAAGGTTTTGGAGGCAAAATTTTAAATTTTCACCACCCACACTATATATTCCTCCCCTCTCTTTCTACCACACAAAGCATCAGGTGAAAGGTAGACCTCGTAAAATTATTAACTATTTTTCTAGATTCTCCAAGCATAACCTCTTTTGACTAGTCCAAGTGGAAAACACCTTAAAGTAATCATCAGGTGCATTCTAGACAGTTCCTGCTAACCTGCACACTCCCACCAATTTCAGGAACAGAATGCAAATCATCTCATGTGATTCACATTCTTGGTAGTTGCATCAACCTATTAATTCAGAGGTGTCCCAAAGGCAAGTGCAAGGGAAGTCAAAATGTAGCTCTCACTCAAGGCTGCCATCATCCCCACTGCAACGGTCAGATGGCATTGCGTTGGCAGTGGCACAAAAAGTCATATTCTATAAAACAACATAACTACCACTCCTCAGGCAATGATCCATTGAGAAACGAAAGTAAAACCAAAACACCAAACCAAAAGCAAAGAATCCAAACATGAAACTAAAGGCATAAGGATCGATTCTGTTCAAGACAACATAAAATTTTGTTTCAGAGGTGCTGGATCCACCCCCTATCAATTAGAACTTATAGATATCATTAAGGATAATGCTACTGATATGACAATTACATGAATCGGACAATAAAAACAAACATCAACGATGAATGCATACATGCACACTAGATGCGACTACAAAAAGAATTAAGAGAGAGGACATACCAATTTCCCTCTTGAGACGTATTGTTTTCACTATTGATCTCCTCTTTAGCAAATTCTTCTAAAATTACACGTTGTCGTTCATTTATCTCGCTGAAAAGTAACCAGTCATAGAAAGTAAATATATAGCATCAAATTTTGATGGCCAAACAACCAAGACCTAAGGTTTCAATCAACGATAAGAAATCAATACTAGAAGTAAGAATTCCTGATTAATACTTCCGTTAGTTTGGTTTATAATATTGTTCCTTTTGTGGGAACAATCCATCCATGTACAAAAATAATGGAAGTCCTCCTACGAATGCGATACTTGTTGACACGTAAAAAGATAGTCCCCGACTTCAAAGGGAATATGTTGAAGCCCAGTGACAAAAGATTTAGATATGTGCATGTTTCAGAGCTTCATTAGTGAATAAAGTTAATGTTCTAACATTACTTGTGCACTGTGCCTCCATGAGAAGTAGTAACTCCATTTCCAAATCATCCACAAAGGCAACCCAAATGAATACTAGCCACAGATGCATATTGACCCGACCAATCATGAAGAAGCCAGAACCAGGAAGAGGAGGAAGAGGAGGAAAAGGATATGATTGAAAATCATTTAAACTGATGATTACAAAAAAAGACAACAAAATAATAAATAGCGTACCTGGGGAATTTAACCCGAAATCTCACAAATTGATCCCCATGACTGACAAGAAAACCATGTTTTGGTAGTCCTGCAGCAATGTAGCGTCTAAGAATAATTTTGGTAGCAAAAAGGCACCACAGTTAATGCAAAATAATTTATTATTTCTAAAAACCTTTTCCTCTTAGAACCACAAGATGTCCAGGCTGTACCCCCTTTGGTATCTGAGAAGGTAAATTTGCAAAAAGATATATTATTAGTGTAAGCAAGGAAGAAAAGTCTATCGAATCACAATGAAAGCCGGAGAAAGGATTCAATTTAAGTGGCATATATTATTGACTCACAAGACATCACTATTTTCTATAGGTAAATGCCCTCTTTCTACTGTTTTTCTTGGTAAAACATTTGAGAACCTAGGGGTCCATGCCACCCTTTCCCCTCCTCCCCCAACCGCAACCCAAAAAAGAGAACAGGCAAGCGCATAACTGTTAGAATATCTCCATGGATTGTTCTAGTACTGTCAGTGTCACCTTGTAAACAACAATCCAGGAACAGCTTCCGATTTTAGATATTTTCATGCTGTTGACCCAACCATGTACCCATGTAAGTGCAAACAGAAATCTGATGGTGATAACTTACTCAAGAACCTATTTTGTAGTATTTGCATTTTTTTAACACATTTATTTTTTTTGTTCAAAACATATTCTGATGGTGATAACTTACTCAAGAAAGTAGTCAATGTTGCCCATCATTTATAGTTTTGAAACAAAACCAACTAAAAAGAATGAGTACATTCTTATATAAGATAGTGAACTGTTTTCCTTCAATATAGATGTGGACCGACTCAATCTACCCCAAAAAAACTGCTTTCAAGACAAGTGGCATACCCTCTTCTTCTTGGTGACTACTGGTGTACATATTCTTTATTTTCCATTGCACGAGACAAGGACCCCCAAAATAAATAACAAGAGTGGTAGGATGTTACACTAAACCACACAATTAAACCAGGGGTTAAAGCAGTAAAACACTTGGAAAAGTGATTTGTTACATTATTGCTGCTTCCAAATATTAGGTTGACTACTCATTTTAACCCTTCTACTCCGCTCAAAAGGTCAACGGTCATCCGACATTCATGTCCTTTTATTGTTAGTTATTAATAACACTCTCCAATTAAATCTGCAAGCACAAATATGTCCCATGTGGCATGGACAGTTCTTACATTAACTTGTACTTTCCCCGATAAAGTTGGGACCTCAACTTTACCACCAAGAATTGCCTGTAACAGAAGCAAACCCCAAAAAGTCAAGGAACCAGGTTACAGATATGTATCTGAATAACATGGAACTGATGCTGTCATAAAAAATACAAAGTAAAGATGACATCAAAAGTAAAGTCACAACAGATAGCAATGCACAAGCAAGGAATAGTTCAACATTAATCACACCATTAAAGTACATTGAACATGCCACAACAATCAAGTATCAATTTCAGCGTGCACTGGTTAGAGTAAAAGCTAATATCCATTAAAGTTTACAAGATTTTACAACCATCATGATTGATGAGAGCAATTACAAACTGAAACACAAGGAGGATTTCATATATGGCATGAGCTAAAGCTAGGTAGGGGAACATTTTACAAGTGGAAAAAGAGAGGCAAAAACATAACATGCTCAATAGTTTTGTTCTCACTTGTGTGAAGCTAATTTCTGAGACCACATATACATCTGCACCATCTCTGGTAAAGGTACGATCTTCAGCCACCTGCATGAGCACAGTTACAAGTTACATGCACATGGGTTGGCAATCTGACAGTGATACAGCTGACTGATTATGTAATGCAAGACTTCAAAATGTTTCACAATCATCCAAAGCTGAATCGTGTGAGAGACTTCAAAAGGAGAAAAGATGTAAAGCAGTAAAGATTTCACAGGAAAGCTCCAATAACAGCAGGACAAAGCGTCTACCATTAAGTGAGATCAAAGTTGTCCTTAAGATCATCATTACCATACAACCAGAAAAGAAGAGGGGATCGTGCCTTTAATTTGATGAATAAGTTGCCAGGTTGACTCCTCCGTGCTCCAGCATTACCAGCTTCTGGCACACGAATTGTATCTCCCGAATCCACACCTACACTATTCAGGAATGGAAATATCAGCTTATCCACTGAAGAGAACATCAGACACTGTGTTGTTTTTTGATAAAGGTAATTCATGTTGATGACATGAGGATCTATGTCATGAGTCCCTACTGCATTGATTTACCCTGTAAGCCATTTCTTTTAAGAATGAATATGTCCTTGGAAAAACAAGCCATTCCCACTACCCAAAGAGAGAAAAGATAGCGACTATGATAGCTAATTTAAAAGAACACATTATGGCATAAGAAGTTAGTTATGTTGCAAGATTTCACTCATGCACAGTGGATGAATTTACGAGTCAGCCCTTTAAGAATTGCAAAGAATCACAATATTTTTTCTAGAATGTGGAACTGCCAACTTATCTGAAAAACTTAATATTTTGGAAAAGCTGTTCAATTATGGCACCTTTTAACAGTCAAATGATCTTACACTTCTTCTCCAGGTATGTTAAGAGTCAGCCAAGGGAGGCTAACAAGAGGCCTGGAGATATTCGAAAAATAGACCTTCTACTCTACATGTTGTAATAAGGGACCATAGACAACTTCTTTAAGAGCATAACTTATTACATTGCGCATTGTTTGATATTTAAATGTTCTGACACCCTAACTTTCAGAACAGTGAGCGCATGTAAGAGAGAGAGAGAGAGAGAGAGAGAGAGAGAGAGAGAGAGAGAGAGAGAGAGAATTGTTACAGCATTCGAGTTAACAATGTATAAAAGAGACGATTTCCAAAAGAATGGTAAATATTGAAAAGGATAAAGCTAGTATTGCTCTCGTTTTGGGAAAACAAATCACGAAACTTGAGATAAAGCAAACTCTTGTGATTAAAAGTTTTGCAGGTTCACTAGTACTCAATGAGACAGACGAGGACTATGATGCTACTGAAGCCACATGATGCGGACAAAAGACATCATGTGCAGCATGGTTCAAATTTTAGGCATGCGTTCCTCTGCATTTTACTGGTGTTTGTTTTCGTGCAGCCGTCATATGGAGCAGTAAAAGCCTTGCAGTGTCAACAAGAAATTATTTCTTTACACGGGAAATCCTCATTGAGATCATCATAGAATTAACCATGAGAAAATATTCTAGGAAGAACACAGGAGCAACAGAACTTGAGTAATCATCCCCAAATAATCATCGGAGAAAAATTAAGTTCAGTATATAAATATAGATTTAACAACACAGCCTGAACCCATGTACATGGAATTTACACTCAAAGCAGAATACTAAGGGTGCGTTTAGTTCAGCATTCCCAAAGGGGTTTGGAGGAATGCAAATACCTTTAACTTAAAGCCCCTTGGGGAAATGCAAATTGTGTTTGATAAAAAATCCTTTGTGAATCTACTTTGGCCCAAGTAGTGTTTAGCAAATCTTATTTTGCAAAGGGCTTTGGAATTTTTTTTTTTTTTTAAAAAGCTTACCCTTCACCGGAGCCGGCGATGGGCTACGGCCGCCGGCGCGCCTGGGTCGCGCGACCCTCACCAAGGGTCGCCCAACCTAGGGCGACGGACGCCAGCACCAAATTTGGCTTGCCAGCGGGCGTAGCCCATTGCGCTACCTGGAGGAGGCCTGAGGTCTCGCTACCCAGCGGCCGATGTCTGGGGTCGTGCGACCCCAGGTGGCTGTCGCCGGGGACGGGCAACCTCGCCAGCACTTCGCCGTCTGATCTGGCCTCGGGCGGCTCTAACCGGCCGCCCTCAGCCCAAAGGAAGATGAACAGTCATGAGGGGCAAAATTGGAATATTGAGGAATTAGTTAGGGTAGTTTGAGAAGAAAAAAAATTGGTTTTAGCATTAGGCAAATGCTGAAAGCTCAAAGCTGGTCCAAACCAGCATTGGGCTTTCAGCATTCCCAATGCTGACTTTTGGCCAAAAGCTCATTGGAAATGCTCGCCAAATGCCTCAGCATTTCCCCAAGCCTCGAAAGCCCCTTGGGAATACTAAACCAAACGCGCCCTTAAACAGTGAAGCCTACAGAAGCACTTTTTTGACAAATACAACTTTAATGACAGAAGCCATATGCATTCAACATAAAGAACTAAAGCCATAAAGCTGTAAAATGATCATGCACAACAATGTTACCCTCCCATATCTCACCCAATCAGCCTTATTAATCATTTTACATTATCACAGAAATGAATCCAACAAAATACCCATAGAACTGTATCAGAGATCAAAAACTCTGACCTACCTGCTGGAATTGTAACTTTAACTTCCTTAGTGCCTTCAACAACTCCTGATCCTCCACACGGAATGCATTGGTCCTATCCAAAGTTACCGAGTATTAGCAGCTTCACCAAGAAAACTGAAATTAAAGACGGTAGTGAGAAGTAATGTTAAACCTTGACAACTCTGCCCGAGCCGTTACAGGTAGTGCATGTTGCTGTAAATGGGGGAATTGTGACCTAATAGCAAGGAAGACCAAAGTACATGTCATGTATACTAAGTGATGGTCCTTCAAACTTCCGATCAATCACACAATTATCCTCAGGAGCAACCAGTCCAGAACTCAACCACTAATCAGCGTTATTGCAGAGCTCATGAAAGCTCTTACCCTCCCAATGCCTCTGCAAGTTGGACACACTCTCACCGTGACACCAGGTGGATAGCCACGCCCATCTGCATTACCATGTAGACATGATCTTCATGATTTTGCTACAGCAAATGTACAATTAGAATGACTCATAAAAATCAAAGGATATCATAAGCAAGATACAGAAACTAGGATTTTCGTATGGTTATGTACAGCCAATGACAAGAAAATAACAGTCAATCTAATTCTTATTAAAAGCATATTCGCCTTACACTTTACAGGCACTCATAAGTCTTGCTTTTCATATATGATAAACAACCCGTGCTTTTCATCCTACTTTCAAGTTCTACAAGGACATGCCAAAACCTCCAAAAAGTGCAAAAAACTAATCATAAATTGGTTGACATACATTTAGCAAGCAAACTGGATTAGAGCAGAGTACCAGTGAGCATAAAGTGCTCGCACTTTTAGTTTCTAAAGCTAGATATATAAACAAGGGACATAGCAGAAACAAGAGGTAGAAGGATGTACTGTAACCAGCGTGATCAAAATACTATACTAACCACAAGAATCACAAGGAACATATGCTTCAAAGGACAGCTCTTTTGTGCACCCTTCCGCAGCTTCGAGGAAAGAAAGTATCAGTTCCACCTATAAAGTTCCAACATAATCTGCGGATTAATGGGTCAGAAATCCGAGTAATATTATCTCATACAACAAACTAGATCAAGACTAGATATCGAGTAATATTATCTCATAAACAAACAAGACCAAGAATATAATTGTGAACCTGAACATCAGATGCAAATTGATCTGTCTTGTCCTCAAAAATCTGAAATGACATCAAATGGTTCTTAGCTAGATATCGTGGATCAGAATATTGGAAGATCGTGACATGCAGGACACTTGGGATTACCTCAGAAAAGATCTTGTGGAAGGAACTAGAGAAATGCCTCCCGTATTCATGTGTAAACCCCTCAGCATCTCCTTCACCATATTCAACATTTACTGAACTTCTAGAGCGTTTCTTCAATAAAGTAATGTAAAAGGCTCAGTGAGCTAAAGATGCTCTAATAAATGAGAGCTATGCTTTCAGATGCTAAAGTTCACTACGTAATTCAGTTGAAAGTACAGAGAGTTAGAGATTTTACCCTGTCATACTCTGCTCTTTTTTCGGAACTTTGCAAAGTCTGAAATTAGTTGAAAAGGCGGGTGACAAAAATTGTCACCTCCAATGTATCAGACATCCAAACACCATGTAACAATCTTTGAAAAATAGTTTTCCTCCACTGGCATCTAATCAATTAGACAAACCTCATAAGCATTTCTTATCTCTTGAAATTTCCTCTTCGCAGAAGGATTATTCTTATTTGCATCAGGATGGTACTTCTTTGCAAGCTGCATTGCAGACAAGCCAATAAACTCAATCAGATATGGGAGTTGAATAACAACTAAAAGAGGTGCCAGTGGCATAAAGAATTTAACTGAGAAGTTCAGTCAATTATAACAATCAAATTGACTGAGGTACTTGGACCTCTAGTTTTAAAAATATCCACTTTATTCTCAACCATGAAGGGGAAGGGGCTGACGAAGAAGCAGCAGGAGAATCTTGTTGGACTATACTCATTTTCTTTCTGGTTGAAACATGCATGATCAACAAGAATATGTGATCAACGTATTAACATCAGCCTCAACTCCACAAAGTAAAAGTAACAAAGAACCTCTTACTACTCATACTATGCTAAAATGTCAGTGTTCAGTTCACGCAGTGTTTTTTTAGTACTTTTCAAATCGTTCTTCCAGGACAACTCAGTTTTTATTTTCTAGATGAACTCTATTGAAATATATATTGCATAGTTCTTGCAGAATCCTGAAATTCAGAGGACTTAAAAGTATTAAAGAACTTTTTCAAACTTCACAAAAGTACTCTTTGGGAGCACAGTAATCATCATTATTTGTCAAAAGGAATTTATCGCATAAACCCGTGTACCAAAGAGCATGCATTCTCAATGCAATGGTATGAATTGGTTAAACACCACAGTGATTCCCATTAGTTTCCCTCAACTTCGTTCGGCACATAATAAGTTCTACCCACCGCACGAAAAGCCTTCTTAATCTCATCTCGGCTGGCATTCTCCGAAACACCCAGAATGTCATAATAGCTTCTTTCAGGGTGGCGACAAGAACCTGAAATAGCACAAGCAGACCAACACCTGAATTTCATGAATCACTTCAATCAAATGAATTATCCGCTGCATATTCACCCAACCAAACCCAGAAAAAAAAAACAATTTTTAAAAAATCGAGGAAAGTAAAAACGGACTGCTCCATAGCTAGCAAATGACAGAAACAAACCCGTCGCGTGAAGACGCCGATACCTCCATGGCGACCTCAAGGTCTCTCGATCGATAGGATTCCCAGTAAGAAAACCGCAACCGTACGAAGCTGATGGACGAAAAGCTTCAGCTGCCGACATGCTTCCGCTCATGAGCCAAGCCAATAACTACATTGCCAAGTGGGGAAGAAAACAAAGAAATGAAAGAAAGAAAGAAAGAAAGGTTACTTCGGGCGAGCAAGAACGCCGCCCTCCGCGAATCCGAAACCAAGCTACTCCCAATCGAATTCGTCCGGCCCGTAACCGAAGACAGCAACCGCCGCCGGCACTGCACAGCGACGACGGGAGAAAAATCAGCAAAATCACAGAGCCGACCGCGCGCCCTGAAAGTGGGTCGATCGAACTCGCTCACCGATCGCAACCAGCTGAACCCGCCCATGCGAGAAGGGAAATCCCTCGAAATCGCGGCGATCGGGGGAGATTCGGAGACGGAGGGGAGTGGGGGTCAAAGGCGTGGCTTGAACATCAAGGCAAAGAAGAGAGGGAGGACCGCCATTGCCATTGGTGCCTGAGCTTTGAAGCCAGGAGGTGGGGGAGGGAAAGGGGGGTTTTAGCTTAGGGTTTATGCAACGGTTGATTAAAAACCGTCTCTCTTTTGTTGGTGCCACTGCCTTCAACATGTAATAGTCTTGATTTTTTTAGTATCGTGTAGGGAAAATAACACAAATGTGGCCCGATGTATAATTTGATCCATGAAATTTTAATTTATTTAATATGATCTCTAAACTTTAACCTAATGTGTAATGTGACCCCTGAACTTTTAATTTGTCCAATGTAATCCCTAAACTTTGGCCTGATGTGTAATTTGATCCATGAACTTTTAATTTATTCAATGTGGTCCATGAATTTTAACTCAATGTGTAATGTGGTTTATGAACTTTTAATTTGTTCAATGCCATCCCTGAACTTTTTATACATGTTCGATTTAGTCCATGAACTATATGAAAATGTTCGATGTAGTCATTCAATTAATTCAAGTTCAGGGATTATTTTGAACATTTTCGTATAGTTTAGGGACTATATTGAACATGTACCAAAATTTTATGAACCACATTGAATAAATTAAAAGTTTAGGGACCGCATTGAACATTAGGCTAAAGTTCAATGACTATATTGAACAAATAAAAAGTGTAGGTATCAAATTGCATATTTAACCAAAGTTTAGTAACTGTTTACGTAATTGCAATTTAGAAGCCCACTACTATAATTTAGAAGTACCGATGGTTTCTAAACTTTGGCCCGAATCTACAGTGTCGTCCTTGGAATTTTTTATTCGTTCAAATGTGGACTTTACTAATGGCGTCAATGTCCTAATCCTGATTAAGTGGCACTACTGAAATTCTAATTGTCATTATCTATATTGTCTCCTCTTTTACTTCCTTCTGCAATTCATATTACGTTGGTGACAATTGTCCCACAACAGCTTCTTTCACAAATATTATAATAAACACTTAATGATGTGAAATGGTTGTTGAAAAAGTTGTCATTGCTGTTAAAGATATAAATTCTATATGTAAAGTTGTGAAATAAACTTTTTATTATTGTAGAAATATTTTTACCTTTATATAACATTTTTAAATGTCAGCATTTATATTTCTACAATTGCTAAAACGTGCATTATGGTATAAATTATTTAAGCCCATCATCGGGTATTAACGCTTTTTGTTGGTCCCGAAAGAACAGTTTGAAAAGCTGAGTTACTTGAAAATCGTACAACAAACATGAGACAAGTTTAAAAACTTGTCATGGACATACAATTTAATTAAAAAAAATTAAATTAAAAAAATTATATATGTGCAATTAAGGCCCCGTTTGGTTCAGCATTTGGAATGCCCATTTGGGCTCTAAAGTCCCTTAGCCAAATGCAAATTGTGTTTGGCAATTTTTTTACTCACTTTGGGGAGATGCAATTGCATTTGAAATACTCCCTAAGGGACCTTCGGCCAATGCTCCACCGGAGGTACTTTGGGAAGTTGCATTTTCGAAATACAATTTGCACTGTTCATCGATACTGTTCATCGACACTGTTCATCTTTCCCAAACCGAGGTCCGGCGGCCGGCGACCGCCACTTGAGGGCTAGCCCGACCCCGGCGACCACCACTTGGGGGTCACGTGACCTCGGCGACCGCCGCCTGAGGTCGCGCGACCCCATCGACGCCGCCTGGGGTCGCTAGAGCTTAGGCGTTGCCTAGGTCGCACGACCCAGGCAACGCTTGAGGTCCGGCGACCCCAGGCGGCGGTAGCCGGGGTCGCGCGACCCCCAGGCGACCGCTGCCTGAGGTCAGGCAAGGCTGGCCGGCTACCAGATCTGGTCGTCGGCGGTTGGTCGGCGACCAGATCTAGCCGGCGGTGGTGGTCGGTCGCCAACTTTTTTTTTTTTTTTAAATATCAGCAAAAGCCTTTTTACAAATAATTTTTACCAAACGGTATTTAGGCCAAAGTTGCTTTCAAATGTAATTTTAAAATACACATTACCAAATACTACTTGCATTTCGGAAACCCCTTTAGCTCAAAGGTCTTTGCATTTTGCCAAATACATTTCCCAAAAGTTGAACCAAAAAGGCCCTAAGTACCTCATTAACTTCATCCAATTTAAATATGGAAAAAATACTGACGTCACCTTTTTAATGTTCTTTTATGCCACGCGACCTTGGTGTGCTGTTCACCAGGCCCACGTAAATAAAAAATCTGGAAAATTAAATAGAAAAAAAAAGCACGACCAACTAAAAAAGCATAGAATTGCGAAATCAAAAAGAAAAAAAAAGCTAAAACGTTTGAAAAATTCGAAAAAAAATCACAAAATTGGAGGAGAGAAATCGATCGATTACAAAGGGTCTGGATTGTGGCCGGAGCTGGCACCATCATTTCATAATGTTTATAGAGGAAAAGATATTTCTAATATATTACACAATGTTCCGTACTTTATAAATATATAAGATTTAATGCATAACAAGCAATGCCATCTGATTATGATTAAATGAAATCAGAGATATTGTTTTTTTGTTCGGAAATCAGAGATAAACTAAAGCGATAAGTTTTTCCTATATTTTAATATTCGTACTAAAGTATCGATAAGCACGTTATCCATCATCGAAAAATATTAATAGAACATATTTTACAATGAAATGAATATGTCCTATCAATATATTCTTTTGTAGAGCGATAAGGACAAATTCCAATCAACATTCAATCTATCCAATAATTAACTTGACGCAACAATAAATATAAAATAGATCGACGACAAAGTTTTAGTATAGTATAAAGAATATAGTTTTAGATCCATGTAACGCACGGACATCTCGCTAGTGTATAATATAAATGAATAAGTAAGGAGATTTGAGAGATCGACAATACCGCAAAAAAAAGAAGAAAAAAGAAAAAGAGTCATTTTGCCTAAAGGGAGGAAAAAGGCCATATTTTGCTCTTCCTTTGATAGGAAGAAATTGCCCTCCTCCCAAACTCTATGAGTAGTTTTGAAATTCTCACACACTTATAAACAAGAGCCAATTTAAAAAGAGCAATTATAAAGTGCACCACTGGTGTAAACAAGACTTTTCACAATCAATCTAATTTACTCTTAATTTGAAGGTTGCAACTAATCCCGTTCTCACTAACCATCAAATCAAGGATAAATATGGTTGCTTATAGAAAGTTCTCTTCACACTGCCGACCTATGTTTACTTTTTCTTTAGAAAAACCCCTCTCTCTCTTTCTCCAAAAATATCTCCTTCCAATGCCAATCCCCCCATGCCAGTGCGCCTTCCTCCATCACCGGTGTTATCGCTTACCCCGCCATACTATCAATGTCTTCATCTCTTCTACTTCACTATTGATCCTTTTATCCCAAACATCGATAGCCTCATATTGACCTCAATTGGTGGTTGAGTCAACGAAGGGGTACCATATTTGGTCAACCTAAATATGAGGTTATGGTGGCCAGGCCATGTGGATTGGTAGAAGAGAATTTTCTCTTCATTTGAAATTGAGAAAAAAGAGCAGTAGATTTAAATTCATTATAAATAAGTAAGTTAAATAGATAGTAGGATTAATACCACGAACAACCTTAAACTGATACACTTGTGATAAATTTACCCCAAATTAATTTTTTGACCACAAAAAACCTCAAATTAGTACACATGTAATAAATTTACCCTTCGTTAGTTTCCGTTAAATTTTACCATCAAATTGCTAAGTTGGATGACAGGTGACAGTTGATAGGTGTATCAGTTTGGGTTTTACCCCTTTGTTTATCACATATTTACCAATTTGTGATTTTTTGTGATATTAATCCAATTTAATGGAGGGTAAATTTGTCACAAGTGTACCAGTTTGGGGTTTTGGTGGTCAAAAAATTAGTTTTGGGTAAATTTATCACATGTGTACCAGTTTTGGATTTTTGGTGATCAAAAAATTAGTTTAGGTAAATTTGTCATAAGTGAACCAGTTTGGGGTTTTTCGTTATATTAACCCTAGATGGTATTTAATCTTTTCATTTTTGTCTACTTCCTTTTTTCTTCCTTCAAAGTTCAAGCACTATCCCATTACTAGACTTTTCCTCCATTGATGCCAAGTTGTGAATGTACGAGATTCCGTTCAAGTCTTTGATGTGCCGTCTTTCACGAGTGGAGAGTATCTTCTCTAAATTACTATATTCTAACTTTTTCACAAAGCACATATGATTAACGGTCCAAAAGAGCTTACAAACTATGTAAGACATCGAGAAGATAGTCGAGTTAAGTCATTGTGGAACTTCATCAAAAAGTGGAATCAATTAAAGCAGTGTGGTCGAGTAGATAGTATTGTTGTTTGCATTTTTTCCTACTCCCTTTTTTTAACGTTCAAATTTCAAGCACTATCCCAGAGGTAAAACTTCTTGACTAGCTCCAAACCTTCTTTGGTCTGCCGTATTTCACGAGTTGAGAGAATCTTCTCAAAATTACATAATTTTTCACAGAGGTAAGCCTTCTTCACTAGCTCCAAACCTTCTTGTAATTCGGCGACCATGACAAAAGTCCAAACGATATTTTCCTCCGTTGATGCCAAGTTGCAAATGTATGAGAATCCTTTCAAGTCTTTGATGTGCCATCTTTCACGAGGGGAGAGTATCTTTTCTAAATTACTATATTCTAACTTATTCATAAAGCACACATGATTAACGGTCCAAACGAGCTTACATACTATGTAAGACATTGAGAAGAGAATCAAGTTAAGTCATAGTGGAACTTAATCAAAATGTGAAATCAATTAAAGCAACATGGTCGAGCAGATAGTATTGTTGTTTGCATTTTTTCTTACTTCCTTTTTTTAACGTTCGAAATTCAAGCACTGTCCCAGAGGTAAAAACTTCTTGACTAGCTCCAAACCTTCTTTGGTCTGCCGTGTTTCACGAGTTGAGATAGTCTTCTCTAAATTACATAATTTTTCACAAAGGTAAACCTTCTTGACTAGCTTCAAACCTTCTTGTAATTCGACGGCCATGACAAAAGTCCAAACCATTTTGAGAGGAATTGAAGACTTTCGCAATGAGGAGGGAATTTCGCCAAGATTATTGACTTGGTTGTTGACTTGATGGTCCCAATTTTCTTCTTTAAGTACGTCTCGGTTGTATCTTTCATGCTCACGCAAGCCAGATCGAAAGAAAAGCCCACCCCAAAGAACCTAAACAACCTGTCATGGCCTCATCTAAAAAACAACCCTCAATGTTGTTCCTCGCTTATGTCCTTCTCATGCTCATGCAAGAAATGCCTTGCCTTGCTTCATCTCGAAGCCCTTCTCTAGTGGCCCTTGCTGGTGCTAGTAACCAAACGAGGAATGAGGAAGCGGAGGCACTCCTGAAATGGAAGTCTAAGCTAGACAACGAGAGTCACTATGCTTTGTCTTCGTGGTATGGAAGCAACCCCTGTTCATGGCGCGGTATCGATTGCGATCCTCTCGGCAACCTCGCGAGCTTGAACCTTTCAGATTCTGCCATACGTGGTACGCTTCATCATCTCAATTTCTCCCAGTTACCCAACTTGGTTGTTCTAAAGCTTGCCAACAACTTGCTCTTTGGGAACATCCCTCCGAGCATGGCTGATCTTGCCAAGCTTACTCATCTAGATTTGTCTCGAAATAACTTTTCGGGAAACATTCCAACTCATCTCAAATCATGGCAATCTTTACAAGTTCTTGAGCTTTCACATAATTATTTCACCGGCCCAATTCCCAGTCAGATAGGTAGTTTGACCAACTTGTTGGGCTTATTCCTTTCGGATAATAAGCTTTCCGGTTTCATCCCTAAAGAAATAGGAATGCTCAAATCTCTCAACTATCTCTACCTAATGAACAACCTCATTATCGGTCCAATTCCTTCTTCCATTGGAAACAACAGCAGGTTGTGGGATTTACGGATTTCCAGAAATCAACTGGTTGGGTCCATTCCAAAGGAAATAGGAATGTTGGGGTCTCTAAATCAACTTGATTTATCAATCAATTATCTCAATGGATCCATCCCCATAGCTCTAGAAAATATGAGTAATTTGGCATTTCTTTACCTCTATGGCAACCAACTTTCTGGCCCCATACCTTCGGAAGTTGGAGGAATGAGATCCCTCATACAGTTTGAACTACTATTCAATGATTTAACAGGTCCTATCCCGGCATCCATAGGGAACTTGAGCAATCTGAATGTTCTTTCCCTTTTCGAAAATGAGTTGTCAGGTCCTATCCCATCCTCCATAGGTAACTTGCGCAACCTGAATGTTCTTTCCCTATACAACAATAAGCTTTCTGGTCCTATCCCGCCCATCATAGGGAACTTGAGCAATCTGAATGTTCTTGCCCTATACAACAATAAGCTTTCTGGCCCTATCCCTCAAGAAATTGGAAATCTTAGATCTCTTTGGGTACTATATCTCTCCAATAATAGCCTCAATGGCTCTATTCCGAAAGAGATTGGAAACTTAAGCGAGCTTACTGGCTTGTCTCTACATATGAATAATCTGGGGGGCTTTCTTCCCATCGAGATAAGTAATCTCACATCCCTCACACAACTACATCTATCTGAAAACGACTTTGTTGGCCAATTGCCACAAGAAATATGCAGTAGCCAAGCTCTTGTAAATTTTACTGCAACAAACAGTCACTTCTCTGGACCCATCCCAAGGGGCCTGAAAAATTGTTCGAGTTTGTATAGATTTAGGCTCGACAACAACTCGCTTAAGGGAAACATAACCGATGCTCTTGGTGTGTACCCCTACTTGGATTACCTTGAGTTGAGCAACAATGAACTTTACAGTGAGCTACCATCGACATTGGGTGACTCTAGAAATTTGACAAGCTTGAAAATCTCCAACAATAAAATCTCCGGCACCATACCACCTCAGCTTGGAAACCTGAATCAGTTGCATAGACTTGACCTCTCATCAAATGATATTGTCGGGGAAATTCCTAAAGACCTAGGAAAATTGAAGTTGCTGCTAGAGCTTTCATTGGACCGCAACCGTCTTGAAGGCCACATCCCTCAAGAACTTGGAGCCTTGTCCAGTCTGCAGAAACTCAACATTGCAGGAAACAACTTGAGTGGCTCAATTCCTACACAACTTGAGGAATGCTCCAACCTTTTGTTCTTAAATTTAAGCAGGAATAATCTTGAAAACAATATTCCCATGGAGATCAGCAATCTCCTATCGCTTCAAGTTCTCGATCTAAGTCAAAATTTTCTCAAGGGAGAAATACCCCAAGAAATAGGGCTATTGCACAGATTGGAGATACTCAATCTCTTACACAATCAGCTCTCGGGTTCAGTTAAGCCGACCTTTGATGATATGGCAAGCTTGACATCCATCGACATATCATATAATGAGTTAGAGGGTCCTTTACCCAACATTCCAGCCTTTCATAATGCTACATATGAAGTTGTGAGAGGGAACAAAGGCTTGTATGGAGTTATTGCTAGTCTCAAAACCTGTACGGCAACAACGTCGAAAGGCAAAAATAAAAACAAAAAGTTGATGCTAATTTTGATTCCTACTTTAGGTTGCCTACTTTCGTTGCTTCTTGTTGTGGGAATTTCAAGTATAGTGTGCCAAAGATTAAGGAAAACAAAGCCTAGTTCGAACGATGGAAGCAATGAAAACCCCTGGGCAGTATTGAGCTTTGACGGAAGAATGGTCTATGAGAGCATTATTGAAGCCACGGAGGATTTCGATGCCAGATATTGCATCGGTGAGGGAAGACATGGCAGTGTTTACAAGGCCCAGTTGCAAACGGGTGAGACTATTGCCGTAAAGAAACTTAAGGAAGCAGCGGACATCAAAATTGCTAGTCGAAAAGCATTTGAAAGGGAGATTCATGCACTAACCGAAGCTCGGCATCGGAATATTGTCAAGCTCTATGGATTTTGCTCGAGTTCTCGACATTCATTTTTGGTGTACGAATTCTTGGAATCTGGCAGTTTGAAGGATGTATTGAACAATGAACAAAGGATAACGGCATTTGACTGGAATAAGAGAGTGAATGTTGTTAAAGGTGTGGCCCATGCTTTGTCCTACATGCACCATGAATGCTCTCCTTCTATAGTTCATCGAGATGTGTCGAGCAAGAACATTTTACTAAATGAAGAATACGAAGCTCACATCTCTGATTTTGGTACGGCTAAGGTTCTAGAACCCTATTCATCCAATTGGACTTCCTTTGTGGGCACTTTTGGATATTCAGCTCCAGGTAAGTTGGTTTCTTCAATAAAAACAATCGATTAAATAGCATTGCTAAGATTTTGGCCAAAAAAGATAGCATTTTTAAGAAATAGAAAAAAAATTGTTGTTTTGCCTCTGCAGAGCTTGCATACACGATGGAGGTGAAGGAGAAATGTGATGTTTACAGCTTTGGAGTGGTGACATTGGAAGTAATCATGGGTAGACATCCGGGCGATCTCTTATCATCTCTCGCATTCTCATCTTCATCATCATCAAGCAATTCAACAGCTTCACGTTGGCCACTAAAACAAGTTCTAGATCAAAGAATTCCACACCCAGAACATGACGTGCTGGGGCGAGTGGCTTTCATCGTGAAGATGGCATTTTCTTGCTTAAGTGCAAAACCAGAGTATCTTCCAAGCATGCAACAAGTGTCTCAAGCAATATCTGTACGTAGTTCGATCATGATAAGTGCGTCGGAGGACATAAAATTGGAAGAGCTAGTTAATCTTGGATGCTTCCCACATTAACATTTTGGTCTTTCTGCTGCAGCTTGTGTAGCAAGTTCTCTCCTTTATTCCTCATAGAACGATTATGTACTGTATCATTTATTTTCGCAGTGATTTATTAACTACCTAAAGCTCTTGGAAATAACTGGATATTTGCATTTTGCAATTTTAACCCAGAAAAAATGGATTGTCGCTGGGAAATCCAACCCTTAAGATCTGCTTAAGAGATAAAAAGGTCACGATAGTGCAAGTCTATCAATGACAGTATTCCCAATCAATTTGGCATATGGTTGACTAAAGTTCGATACCTATGATCTGGAAGCTTTCGGGATAAAAGGACGTTCGATTGTTAAACTCGTGTTCACACGACCCTCCGCACAACTTTGAAGAGCTGATATCTTCAATTCAATGCTTCCCAAGAGGTACTTAATTGACCAGACAAAAAACGCACGACCTAACGTAGCCGTAAGAGTGTTTAAAATGACATCTGGCCTGTACAGCAGACAGAGCTCAAACAAGCAATCAGAAATTCCAAGTTTTCAACAGGAAAAAAGGGGATGTCCTACGTGTGCCTGTACAATTCCATCTAGAGTGATCTTTACTGAAATCTGGGGTATGTGTTTAACAAAGTGTTAAAGCAAAGTGCCAACTCCTCATCATCCGAAGATCTTGTACCAGAGGTAGACCAAGAAGAAACAAATCAATGCAAATACGCTGATGGGTACGGCATTGTTTGAGCCATACTGGACAAGGCTCTTGTGCAGTCTCCTGACATTGTTCTTCACCCCGGCTCAAGCTTTGACCGACGTCCATTGCTGTCAAGACATCAGGTAACTTTAGAAACGAAATCACGGGCCATTTTAGTATCTCCAAAACGGTAACTATCAATCATCTATGACTCTGCATTCTGACAAGATAACATATAAGAACTATTACAGGCTATAGCTGACAATGAAGCTTCATTGATAACACCAATCAGTGAGAACAGATGACAATGGCACAATAGCCAGGCGACTGTTGGTACCTGAAGTGGAAACATGAATCAAGATTCATGATGCTGTTTTCAAAAATCCTTTTCTTATTTCTTTAGTTGTTCATTCTTTAACGGGGTTGCGTTGTCGAGTCCAAGGTGAGGGAAATTTTAGGCATTAGCATGTATTATAAGGCACATATATAGTTTACTCACTTCAGTTGTCCAGTTAACAAGTTTCTCGAAGCAAAAGTAGTGAACAGATATATGACACCAGCAGCGGGAGGGAAAGACAGCAGCTATTAATGACCAAATTATGACCTTCAACATCAGAAAACAATTGACAATGAAGACACTGACCTTCAGCAGCGGCCTCACTGGACATGGAACTCACCATTAATCGGAGTTGCATCAGAAATTTCACTTGTTGAAAAGTGAGACTATGAACTGGTTTTTTTATTTTTTAATTTATTGGATAGATAAGTGTTACCCTAACCACCCTTTTGAGGTCGGTCTTCAAGGTTATCTTATCCAAGACTTGCGATGCCCTCAGATGCCGGGGAGGATAACTTTTATACTGTTCAGCTGCATATGCACGTTACCAAACGCAGCTCAAAATGTTTTACACAGTCGCAAGAAGAATAAACAAATAGGCAACAAGCAGCTTAGAATTAGAAGTCCCACAGTTTTTCCATGAGGAAACTCAATCTCACACCACCGCGTTTTGGCAGTAGAATCACGCGGACACTCCATTTATTGTGACAGATTAGTCTAACACCCATGGTAGTCGCTTGGTTCTGCCAAGGACACAATACCGATGCATTCTCAGTTTGCTTCTGTATATTTGAATTTTTTATAAAAACTGGGTGGTTCAAACAGATTTTGACACGGGGAGTCAAAAAGTTTTCAAAACACAATGTGTCTGAATGATTTGCCCAGCTTTTCATATCAATCTCTTAATATTCCCAATTCTTGTTTGTCATTAATACCAACATCTTCTGATTGAACAACATGGTTGCTGTATACTACAGGGCAATTGCACGATTATGATTAAGAGGATCCTCCACCTGTTTCATCTCCCCACTATTTAAGAACTTAAGAACACAGAAGAGACAACATTATTCAGCAGTTTATCCTACTACAATATGATTTCTCAGAAAAAATAAATACAGCCCAACAGGAAGATTTCAAGCAAGGAAACGTTAAGTAATGGCTATCGGTCCAAACTAAACTGTATACCAGCCGATTGAGCATATCATTCTGGAACTTCGCCTCTTACACACTTATAAACAACAGTCTCATAGCAATTATAAAGTACACCATCAGAGTAAACAAAACTTTCCACGAGCTGCTATATTTACTCTTGATTGGAAGGTTATAACCACGGGGGCCATCGCTAGCCCCACCATACTGTTAATGTCTTCATCTGTTCTACTTCACTATTGAGGCTAAATCACCTACGGAGTACCATATTTGGTCAAACTAGATATGAGGTTACGGTGGCCTGGTCAGGCCAGATGGGTTGACCCTTTTGTCCCTTACGTAGATGACCTTGGATTTATGTCAATTTGAAGACCGAGCCACCAGAGGAGCATCGGAGCTCGCAGAGGACGGCGACTGTGTGGTTACGATGAGGCAGCAACGTGGTGGAGATGGCGAGGGGGAAAGAGATGGGGCGGAGAGGGTGTGGATGCCGGTAGGCCACCCTTGGTTCGGTTAGATTTTCTTGTATGTTTAGTGAACCTGAGTTTAATTTGAGAATGCCTACATCTACATGTACGCACCACCAAACGGAGATTGGTCGAAGGGAATTTTCTCTTCATTAGAGATTGCGGAAAAAGGGGCGGTAAATTCCGTATAAATAAGTAAGTTGAAATAGACAGTAGTTGTTCCTCGCAGTATTTTCCTACTTCCTTTTTTTCCCCCTCAAAGTTCAAGCACTATCCCAAATTCCTGACTTTTCCTCCATTGACGTCAAGTTGCAAAATGTACGAGAATCCGTCCAAGTCTTTTAGGTGCCGCTATTTCGGTAGTGGAGAGAATCTTCTCTAAATTGCAATATCCCACTTCTTCGCGGAGGTAAACCTTCTCGACTTTTCCTCCACCGACGAATGAGTCTTTGCAAATTCGCAAAACAGGTCGCGACGTGACTCGTCTGGACAAATTAAGTGTTTTCACCTTTGTTGTTGATCGTTAATTTGATAAGTGCAATTACGTTAGCAGAACGATAGGGAAGGAAGACTGAATTTATTTTGGGGAAAATTACCAAAAAAAGTCATAAACCTATTATAATTGTGTCAATTCAGTCCTAAACATTTTTCATTTATGCCAAATGAGTCCATTCGGCCAATTTTGGCCACCCGGAGCTCACGTGGTACAATTGGCGCTGGCGTGGCACGGCCGGCACTGACGTGGATAATTTTTAATAATATTTTAATATTTTTCAAAAAAAATTAATTTTTTTTCTTTTTCTTTTTGCTTTTCTTCCTTCTTTTCCCATATTGGCCGGCGAGAGTCGCGGCCCTCGCCCATGGCTAGCGAGACCATAACCGCCTTCACCCGCAGCCAGCAAGGCCAAGGCGAGGGCCGTGACCCTTTTCGGAGGCTAGCCGGCCACTGAGGGAAAAGAAGGAAGAAAAGAAAAAAGAAAAGGAAAAGGAAAATAATAAAATAATAAAAAAATCGGGAAAAAAATATTATTAAAAATTATCCACGTTGGCGTTGGCCGGACGGATGGCATCCACGTCAGCGCCGGCGGAGGATCGCCAATCAAAATTGGCCAGATGGATTGAATTGGCACAAATGTAAAAGATATGGGACTAAATTGGCCAAAAAAAAATTTAGAAGCGAATTGACACAACTGCAATAAGTTTAAGATTTTTTTTGGTAATTTTCCAAATTATTTTGAGGCAGACTAGGTTGTCCTCCACGTAAAAACCGACAAGAAAACTCCTCTATCTTCTTCCCTAATTTCAAGCTTTACCTTTCAATCCCCACACTAAAGTCCGATTTGTCCTAACGCAAATTCTGCAACCTTGACAAAATCCAAATTTGAAATTTTCTCTTAGCCGCCAGCCAGGCACGTGAGGCTTGACCCGATCCACGTGGGAGTATTTTCGAAATAACCAGACCAAGTGGTGATCATTCATAGGTGCGAGCGTTATCTCCCGAGAGTGTTTGTAAGTTTTTCTTGAGAGGAATGGAAGAGTTTCGCAACGAGGAGGGAACGTAAAACCATGATCATTTGACTTGGTTGTCGAATGATGGTCCCGAGCTTCTTCTATAAGGACGCCTCGGATGTGCTTCTCATGCTCGTGCAAGAAACGAAGAAAAGACCACCCCAGATAAACCAAAACAAACCTGTCATGGCCTCCTCATCTCAGAAACAACCCTCCATGTTGTTCCTCGCTTGTGTCCTCCTCATGCTCGTGCCAGAATTGCCTTGCCTCGCTTCGTCTCGAAGCTCTTCTCCTGTGGCCCTTGCCGGTGCTGGTAACCGAACGGGAAATGAGGAAGCGGAGGCGCTCCTAGCATGGAAGGCTACGCTAGACCGCCAGAGCCGCCATGCGTTGTCGTCGTGGAACGGAAGCAACCCTTGTTCGTGGCGCGGAATCGATTGCGACCCTCTCGGCAGCATCGCGAGCTTGGAACTTTCAGATTCTGCCATGCACGGTACGCTTCATCATCTCAATTTCTCCCGGTTACCAAACTTGGTCACTCTGAAGCTGTCAAACAACTCGCTCTTCGGGAACATCCCACCGAGCATGGCTTCTCTTGCCAAGCTTACTCATCTGGACTTGTCTCGAAATAACCTTTCAGGAAGCATCCCAACTCAACTCGGGTCATGGAAATCTTTACAAGTTCTCGAGTTTTCACGTAATAAGCTTTCTGGTCCTATCCCTCAAGAAATTGGAAACCTTACATCTCTCTCGACACTCGCTCTCGTCGAGAATGACTTCAGTGGCTCTATCCCTGATTCAATAGGAAAGTTGGGAAATTTGGCTATCTTACTCCTCGATGAGAACAATTTCTCTGGCTCTATTCCTTCCAGTATAGGAAACTTAAGCAAGCTCAATGAGCTCAGTATACGTGTGAATAATCTGGTGGGTTTTCTTCCCACCGGATTGAATAATCTCACATTCCTCACACTCCTAAGGTTATCTTATAACGACTTTGTTGGCCAATTGCCACAAGAAATATGCAGTAGCCAAGCTCTTGTGAATTTTACTGCTTTGAACAATCACTTCACTGGACCCATCCCGAGAAGCCTAAAAAATTGTTCTAGTTTGCATAGACTTAGGCTCCAAAACAACTCGCTCACCGGAAATATAACCGATGCTCTTGGTGTATACCCCAACTTGGATTACCTTGAGTTGAGCAACAATGAACTTTACGGTGTGCTACCACCAACATTGGTTGAATGTAGAAATTTGACGAGCTTGTTAATCTCCAACAATAGAATCTCCGGCACCATACCACCTCAGCTTGGAAACATGAATAAATTGGGCAAACTCGACCTCTCTTCAAACGATATTGTTGGGGAAATTCCTAAAGACCTAGGAAAATTGAAGTTGCTGTTGGAGCTTTCATTAGACTGCAACCATCTTGAAGGCCACATCCCTCAAGAACTTGGAGCGTTGTCCCGTCTGCAGAAACTCAAAATTGCAGGAAACAACTTGAGTGGCTCAATTCCTACAGAACTCAAGGAGTGCTCCAACCTTGAGTTCTTGAATTTAAGCGGGAATAATCTGGAAAACAGTATTCCTGTGGAGATCGGCAATCTCTGGTCTCTTCAAGTTCTCGATCTGAGTCAAAATTTGCTTACGGGAGTAATACCTAGACAACTGCAACGATTGCACAGATTGGAAATACTCAATCTCTCACACAATCAGCTTTCGGGTTCAATTGAATCGACCTTTGATGATATGGTAAGCTTGACATTCATCAATATTTCGTTTAATGAGTTAGAGGGTCCTTTACCAAACATTCCAGCCTTTCGTAATGCTACAATTGAAGTTGTGAGAGGGAACAAAGGCTTGTGTGGAGTTTTTGCTTGTCTCGACCCTTGTACAGCAAAAATGTCGAAAGGCAAAAACAAAACCAAAAAGTTGTTGTTAATTGTGATTCCTACTTTAGGTTGCCTACTTTCTTTGCTTCTTATTGTGGGAGCTTCAAGTACTGTATGCCGAAGAGTTAGGAAAACGGGGCCCAGTTCGAACAATGGAAGCAGTGAAAACCTGTGGGGAGTTTGGAGCTTTGATGGAAGAATGGTTTATGAGAGCATTATTGAAGCCACGGAGGAGTTTGATGCCAAATATTGCATCGGTGTGGGAGGACATGGGAGTGTTTACAAGGCCCAGTTGCAAACAGGTGAGATTGTTGCTGTGAAGAAACTTAAGGAAGCACCGGATGTCGAAATGGCTAGTCGAGAAGCATTTGGAAGAGAGATTCATGTTTTGACCAAAACCCGCCATCGGAATATCATCAAGCTCTATGGCTTTTGCTTGAGTTCACGACACTCATTTTTAGTGTATGAGTTCTTGGAACCTGGCAGCTTAAAGGATGTATTGAACAATGAAGGAAGGATAACGGCATTTGACTGGAATAAGAGACTCAATGTTGTTAAAGGTTTGGTTTATGCTTTGTCCTACATGCACCATGAATGCTCTCCTCCTATAATTCATCGAGACATAACGAGCAAGAACATTTTACTTGATGAAGAATATGAAGTTCATGTCTCTGATTTTGGCACGGCTAAGGTTCTAGAACCTTATGCATCCAATTGGACTTCTTTTGCGGGGACCTTTGGATATTCAGCTCCAGGTAAGTTGGTTTCTTCAATAAAAACAATCACTCAAATAGCATTACTAAGAATTTGGCCCAAAAAACAGATAGCATTAGTTGAAATTTTTTTTTGTTGTTTTCCGTATGCAGAGCTCGCATACACAATGGAGGTAAAGGAGAAATGCGATGTTTATAGCTTTGGAGTAGTGACATTGGAAGTAATCATGGGTAGACATCCGGGCGATCTCCTATCATCTCTCGCATTCTCATCTTCATCATCATCAAGCAATTCAACAGCTTCACGTTGGCCACTAAAACAAGTTCTAGATCAAAGAATTCCACACCCAGAACATGACGTGTTGGGGCGAGTGGCTTTCATCGTGAAGATGGCATTTTCTTGCTTAAGTGCAAAACCAGAGTATCGTCCAAGCATGCAACAAGTGTCTCAAGCGATATCCGCACGTAGTTCGATCATGATAAGCGTGTCGGAGGACACAAAATTGGAAGAGCTAGTTAATCTTGGATGCTTCCCATATTAACATTTTGGCCTTTCTGCTGCTGCTTGTGTAGCAAGTTCTCTCCTTTATTTCTCATAGAACGATTATATGTACTGTTTCACTTATTTTCGCAGTGATTTATTATTAACTACCTAAAGCTCTTGGAAATAACTGGATATTTGCATTTTGCAATTTTAACCCAGAAAAAATGGATTGTCGCTGGTACATCCAACCCGTAAGATCGGCTTAAGAGATAACAAGGTTATGACGTTGCAGGTCTATCAATGACGGTAGTCCCAATCAATTTGGCATATGGTTGACTAAAGTTCGACACCTATGATAATTTCTTCGATGGATGCATGGATCTGGAAGCTTTCGGGATACAAGGACGTTCGATTGCTAGACCCGGTGTTCACACGACCCTTCGCACGACTTTGAAGAGCCGATATCTTCGAATCAATGCTTCCCAAGAGGTACTTAATTGACCAGACAAAAAACGCACGACCTAACATAGCCGTAAGAGTGTTAAGAATGACATCTGGCCTGTACAGCAGACAGAGCTCAAACAAGCAGTCAGAAATTCCACAGGAAAAAAGGGGATGTCCTACTTGTGCCTGTACAATTCCATCTAGAGTGATCTTTACTGAAATCTAGGGAGTGCGTCCAACAGAGTGTTGAGGCAAATTGCCAACTCCTGATCATCCGGAGATCTTGTACCAGAGGTAGACCAAGAAGATACAAATCAATGCAAATACGATGATGGGTACAACATTGTTTGAGCCATACTGGACAATGCTCTTGTGCAGTCTTCTGACATTGTTCTTAACCCCTGCTCGAGCTTTGATCAGAGTCGGTTGCTGTCAAGACATCAAATAACTTTAGAAACGAAATCACGGGCCTTTTTAGTATCTCCAAAACGGTAACTATCAATCATCTATGACCCTGCATTCTGACAAGATAACATATAAGAACTGGTACAGGGTGTAGCTGACAGTGAAGCTTCATTGATAACACCAATCAGTGAGAACATATGACAATGGCACAATAGCTAGGCGACGGCTGGTACCTCAAGTGGAAACTTGAATCAAAATCTATGATGCTGTTCTCGAAAATCCTCTTCTCATTTCTTTAGTTGTTCATTCAATAACGGGGTCGCATTGTCAAGCCGAAGGTGTGGAGGATTTTAGGCATTAGCATGTATTACATGGCACATATAGTTTACTCACTTCAATTGTCCAGATAACAATTTTTTCGAAACAGAAGCAGTGAACAGATATATGACATCAGCAGCGGGAGGGAAAGAGAGCGGATAATAATGACAAAATTATAACCTCCAACATCGTAAAACTATTGACAATGAAGACAATGACCTTCAGCAGCCTCCTCACAGGACATGGAAATCACCATCAATTGAAGTTGCATCAGGAAATTTCACTTGTTGAAAAGTGAGAGGATGAACTGGTTTTTTTATTTTTTGGCTATTGGATAGATAAGTGTTACCCTAACCATCCTTTTGAGGTCTGTCTTCAAGGTTATCTTATCCAAGACTTGCAATGCCCTCAAACGACGGGGAAGATAATTTTTATATTATTCAGCTGCATATGCAGGTCACCAAGTGCTGGTCATAATGTTTTACATAGTCGCAAGAAGAATAAACATATAGGCAACAAGCAGCTTGAATTAGAATTCCCCCAGTTTTTCATCAGGGAACTTAATCTCACACAATCGTGTTTTGGCAGTCACTCCATTTGTTGCGACAGATTAGTCTAACACCAATGGTAGTCACCCGGTTCTGCCAATACACATACTGATACATCCCTAGTTAGCAGCTAGCTTCTATATATTTGAACTTTTTATTTTAAAAAAAAAGCATGGTAAAAATGATTGTACTTTCTTAATTGGGTGGATCAAAGAGATTTTGACAGGGGGGAGTCAATAATCTTTCAAAACACAAGGTGTCTGGATTTTCCCAAATCTTGCTTGTTATTAATGCCGTTTCCGGGCTGCTGATAGCCTGATTGCACGGCATGGTTACTTTATACTACAGAGCTAATTACACGATTATGATTAAAAGTATACTCCACCTGTTTCGTTTCCCCACTAGATAAGACCTTGAGTACAGTGAAGAGACAGCATCATTCAGCAATTTATCCTACTGATTATGATTTTTTCAGAAAAATAAAAAATAGCCCAACCTAAAGATTTCAAGGAAAGAACAGTAAGTGATGGCTATCTGTTCAAAGTAAAACATATACCAGCTGATTGAGCATATCATTCTGGAACTTCCTCTCTTTGTCTATCTCCTGGGCCACCTGAACAAAAGTAACGGTAGCTTCCCAAAGTAACTCTGCTACTTCTTAAAAACAACGTTCTCAATTCTCAAGAAACAGTGAATACGATTGATCTCTCCCAAGGAGGATGGACAGGACAGACGAACAAGGAAAGCCCAGAAAGATCTCCTCCGAGGGAGACCCAGGTACCATGAGGAACGTGGACAAGAAGTGTCAACAAAAACCGATGAATGTTAGAAACAGTTTCCACTCCCCGGTGACCTCTCGTGCTCGAATCTACGCAATCTTTTCCGCAGAACTTGCTTATATGCTTAAGCTATGCTTGATCACCCAAAGTATATCGATATCGCAGAACCATGCTTTTCCAACAGAACCGTGAGCACCGTAGCCAAAAATCACAAATTCGATCGTAGTTAACACATACTAGTACAATCTCAGTGCATCCGGCCATCTAGCAGTCGAATAGTTACCGAAAAAAGAGCCCATTCATTGATCAAAACTTACGTTTCTTAATTGGTGGACCTGCCCACCGAGACAGCCGACCTCCTGATCCAAGCCACTGTCACCGTCCTCCAGATCGATCTGCAACACCATCTCGTCCGAGCGAGCCACCGCTCTCGCAATAAGCCCCTGGCTATCAAACCGCGAAAAACCGGAACCAGAATCAGAACCCAAACCGACGTTTCGACCTCAGAAAGCGCTAAGCACGTATCAAACTTAGCAGCACGGCGAGAATCCGAGAGCGTCGCTCACTGTGATCGGAAGGGAACGGCTCCGCCGTATAGCGGACGGCCTTCGCCGGAACTTCTCCCCGCCATCGAAGCGCGGAACGCGAAATTCGAGCTCCGAGCAGAGAACGAGAGGAAAACCCCTTGGAGGAAGGAGCGCTGGCAATTGGCAGGGTTTACGACTGGGATTCCGGTGGAGATTCTGTTGAAGACGCCGCTGAGACTTTCTGTTTTTTTGGACGGTTGGAACTTCGCGCGGCAAAGTGGCACGCGGGGAGAGGGGGATGAGCTGGCGGAGAGAGAATGGTGTTCCTTGCTGACGTGGCGGATTGTGATAGGCTGTGTGATTTTAATTCTCTTTTTTTTTCTCGGTTGACGATTATTCAAACCGTAAATTTATATCTGATAAATAAAAAAAAAGATAGATTAGATGAAGTTTTTTCAAAAAAAAACTTTTTAAGATTGTACTCTTCGTTTGTTTTTTTTTTGGTCGAATTGTACTCTTCGTTGACACGTCTTACTTTGAATGTAGTGTCTTAAATGAATTAAATAGAGAAAATCTCTAACGAATTACGAAATTATTAAATTTAGTTTCTCAAAAGTATGAGGCAACTTTGAAATGCGTAAAATTTTCAGTGTTCGACAATCCCTTTTCGCAAGTGTAGTTGTCCAATCAAATTAGGATATGTATTCGCGAATAGGACAGTTAAATTAGACCGAGGACATTAACCGATACGCATTTATCCATATTAAATTCAAAATAGATTTGATATTCGTTTGAATCAAAGTTTGGTCAAAACTCGAAAGCGACTCCTTAAATCCGTCAACCTTTTTCAAATTGGATTTTCTCATCTCAAACTTTTTAATTGAACCATGACTTAATTATGTTTTATATATATCTTTATAATTAAGCCAAAACACACTTTTTTCTGACTTTTATATTTCTCTATTGGCCCTTATAAACTTATTTTTCTTATTATAAAGAAAAGAGGTTTAAAAAAAAGGTAACAATGAATAAAGAAAAATGATAAAAAGGTGAAACAAAGAAATCAACTACCTATTTTAAGTTAAGAAATTGCACTTGGTAAAATTACTTAACTGTCCTTAGAGTGCAATAATCAACCTCATCCGTGCACTTCATGTGAGAAATTTAAAACGTTTCTCACGTTTTTCTTTTTTTGAATTCTAAATTAAGTCCCTGAACTCTGGTCCAATGTGCAATGATCTTTACACTTTTAATTAGTTCAATATAGTCATTGAACTTTAGCTTAACGTTCAATATGGTCCTTGAACTTTTAATTTGTTTATTATCGTTCCTTGAACTTATGAAACGCGTTTAATTTAGTCTCTGAACTATATGAAAATATTTAATATGGTTCTTCCATTAATTCAAGTTCAAGAATTAAATTCAATATTTTCATATAGTTCAAGAACTAAATTGAACATATAACATAAGTTCAGGGAACGGCATTAAACAAATTAAAAAGATTATGGATCACGTTACATATTAGATTAAAGTTCAGGGACTACATTGAATAAATTAAAAGTGCAGGGATCACATTACACATTGGATCAAACTTCAGAGACTCTGCATCATCCTTCCCTAAATAAATGCAATAATCAACCTCAAACCGACAGTGCACCTTGGTTACTCAATAGGCTGGACCAAGCGTCGTGGGCAAGCATCCCACCAAGGCGGGGAAGGACCGGGCCACACGACCGGGGATGTACCTCGGTGCATTTACAATTCCCGAGCGGCACGTGAACAAGTAAGTCAAATCGCAGCGGCCGAGTCCGGAACCTCGAGCTCCATATTCACGTCGCGTGAAGAGACTGGCTCGCTCGCTCGCTCGCTGCCCCAGCTTTGCTGTCCCAAGGCTCATCCACAGAAGCTTTAAAAGGCCGCGCCTCAAAAGGAAAGGGGGCTCAAGGAAAGAACCCGATGCTGGCGTGAACGACGACGATGCTCACCAAACTCTCGAACTCGCCTCCTCGCTCACGTACATGTCGTCGCAAGCATGTGGCGGTCAATCCTCCGCAACAAAACCACCACCACCACCACGACGGCGATGACATGCTTCTTCCTCGCCCAATCACACCCTCCCCTTATCTGCTCCGCCCTTTTTAAGCCCTCCCCTCCGCTCTCCCTCCGCCGCCACCTCCCTCCTCTCTCCGCCGTGAGTCTCTCCTCTCTCTACTCTCTATCTGTTCGCCATTTTGTCGACACCTCACATTCGTCGCTCGCTCCTCCTTCCTCTTCTTTGCCAGGGATTTTGGGGTACTGGTTGGGGCCCCGCGATTCGTTCCTTCTGCTCCGGGTCGGGCTCCGGGCGTCGAGCGATGGCGGAGCGGTCGGAGAGCCTCGCCGATCCGAGCTCCGTGTCGTACCTTACGCAGAGAGAGGCCGCCGAGGTCGACGAGAACCTCATGGGCCCCCTCGGCTTCAGCGTCGATCAGCTCATGGTCAGTGCCCGAGTTCGGATTTTCATGCCTGTGATTGCACCGCGGGTCGCGTTGTCTGTGATTGTCGTGTTTTTGGGGGCGTGGAGTCTCGTTTGCAGCTAGTTCTAATTGTTAATATCATTACGTTTTTTGGCTTTTGATTTCTGCAGGAGTTGGCTGGCCTGAGCGTGGCGACTTCAATCGCCGAGGTAACGCCTTGCTTGGGCTTCCTTTGATTCTGTTCTGTGGCTACTGTTTGATTTGTTTGCCATGGCGCGGGCGCATTGTCAGGGAGCGATAGGCTTCATAAACAATTGAGATTAAAATGCGGGATAAGAAGTAAGTGGTCGACAGATGGCTAGGCTGAGTGATATGTTCAGTTTTAGAGTTTATGCTCTGTTTTATGCATCGCTGGATTATAAGCATCTAATGTACGCAGAATGCGTGTCCGTACTGTGATTCTGTTGGGTTTTGTCTTCGGAGATAATGTAACTATAGACTTCAGTGTCCTGATCAGTCCAACAAACTTTGTTTTTATTAGTTCTGTTGACCAAGAGAAGTACATTGCTACTTGCCATGACATTATTTCCAGAACTTTGTGGTGGAATTATGTGGTTACTGCTCCAGCTTTAGTTGGCTGAATTCTGCTTGGGTTTCTTAGCATTTAGAATTTGGGTAGCTGTTATGCTGGCTAATTGTGAATCTGATTTGTTGGCAGGTCTACAAAGCCAGCGAGTATAAGCGCGTCCTTGCAATATGTGGACCCGGGAACAATGGTGGTGATGGCCTGGTAGCTGCTCGTCATTTGTTTCATTTTGGGTACAAGCCATACATTTGTTATCCTAAGCGTACTCCGAAGCCTCTTTATACTGGTCTGGTTACTCAGGTTGGACACGATTTTGAATCCAATATGCTGGAACAGTTTTTCAGTGGCAGCTTTTACATTACCTTGCTGGTATCTTCCTGTCTGCAGCTTGAATCTCTGAGAGTTCCTTTCTTGTCAGTAGAAGATCTTCCTTCAGACTTGTCTACGGAGTTTGATATCTTGCTGGATGCAGTATTTGGGTTCTCATTCCATGGTAATTACTTTAACGTCTCAAGTTTAAGGTTTACGTTAAGGCTTCTCTTTTGGTAGTTTCTTTGGTGTTCCGTGTTGATTGGAAATTATCTCTGTTTTATTTCTGGAATTTAAGTTTCACCCGAGTTCCTACAATTTGCGATGATATAAGGCTTACATGTGAATACCGCAATTTGACTTTAATAGCAAAGGCTTACCATACTAGGGCATGTTTAGATGACAGGAGAATGTCAATATGCCTGGTGAAGCCTCTTAACTTATAACTTTATGTTTTAGCATTTCCATTCTCGTGGAGTCTGAATAGACTTCGGGTACTCATTGCAGACTCACTTGATGCCTGTCTATAGATTCTCTTGTTCTTCATGGACAGAGCTACACTTTGCGGCGTTGGAGGATATTAACCCTACTCGATTATGTGGGATATATTTGAGTGGTATTATTTCTCTAACAATTGTTTAATTCCACTAAACTTCCATAAAGGCTTAAACAGGTGAAAATTCCTAACCAAACACGCAAGAGTACAATGTTTACGGAAAAAATATGATTCTTCGCCTTCTGAAGACAAAATATTGTCTTACGTATGGAATTTGACACTAGGACAATGATAATCAAATAACTTCCCCACTGTAAAGAATACTCGGATATATCACTGTCCTGCATTCTTGATTGTCTCTCTGAAATAGTCAATTTCCCACTGCGCATGCAAGCAGAAGGTATTTCTTTCACTTTAGTTGTACTCCTCTGTCTGTCTCTTTATGTTATGGCTATTTTGGCTTAATTTTCTTTGTATAACTGATTTTTCCTTTTTCATTTTTCTGAGATATCAACTTATTTTCGAATTCCTCAGGTACCGCAAGGCCGCCTTTTGACGATATAATAAGAAGATTGGTTGGAATGCGGAAAAGTGACCCAACAAATAAAAAGTCTCCTGTAATTGTCTCCGTTGATATCCCTTCCGGATGGCATGTTGAAGAAGGGGATGTCGATGGTGAAGGCATCAAGCCTGATATGTTGGTATATTTCTTGCGGGACTTCTGAAGTGTTCAAATTAATGCATCAAACCAATAAAGTGGTTGCTCTTTACAAGCTACTGAAAAAACAACCTCATGCCCGTAGGTTTTCATTTGTTTAGGTTTCTCTAACTGCTCCAAAGTTGTGTGCCAAGCAATTTCGTGGTCCACATCACTTTTTAGGAGGTAGATTTGTCCCACCACCTATAGCAGAAAGATATAACCTCCGCCTTCCTCCATATCCTGGAACATCGATGTGTGTCCGTATTGGCAAGGTTCCTCAAGTTGATATATCATCTATGAGAGAGAACTACATTTCACCAGAGTTTCGTGAGGAAGAAGTTGAGGCTGACCCCATGAAGCAGGTAATTTTAGATGTTGAAGCATATCACCTCTTTCACTGAGTTTGTCATCTGCTCTAATTTTTTATGTCTAGCACATTTTTTCAACTTGTACCTCGGAAAATTGTTTTTCTTATTGAACCACGATTCCTTCCACTTTATCACCAACGAGTGACAACTTCCTATAGTTTCGCAAATGGTTTGAAGAAGCAGTGACTGCTGGGTTGCGGGAACCAAATGCCATGGCATTGTCAACTGCTGGCAAGGATGGGAAACCGTAAGTTTGTGCTTTTTTCCCACTTCTTAGTCTTCTAACTATCACATAGTGGAATTCTCTAGTTGAGTTGACTATCGTCCAGATACTGACTTCCGATGGTCTCTATGAAAGTCTTAACTCTATTTGTCTATTTTTATAAGAGTTTGACATGTCCAGATATTGTTTAAGAACTTCGTAATCAGACGAAAGGTACGGAAAACTCTTTAGTCTTGCTGCAGTGACGGCTCTTTCATGGCTAAGAGCTTATAGTGGGTTGTCGACATCCACGTGTCATATTTGTGTAGTATGCCTTGTGACAATGACATGTCAACAAACATGGATGAATTAGAATGATTCAAAAAAATGTCGTTTTTTGACACAGCTCATCACGCATGGTTTTGCTGAAAGGAGTTGACGAGGATGGCTTTGTCTGGTCAGTGCTATTTTTTTTGCTGTTGCAATATTGCCCAGGTGCTGAATATGGACCTTTTTGACAGCCGAATATTTAGTATATGTTGTTCCCCCCTTTAGGTACACCAATTATGAAAGTCGAAAGGCACGTGATTTATCTGAAAATCCTTGGGCATCACTGCTTTTCTACTGGGAAAGCCTCAACCGTCAGGTAATGCATGCAAATCTGAGGACCGTGCTAAGAATTGTCAGATCTCGTGATGAGTGAATTATTCCGGAGGACTCTACATATCCTGGTGGAAGTGAATTGATGTAAAGCAGTCGCTTGATATATCACAGATCAATTAAATTCTCCGAGAGGCGTGGAATCTGGAATTGTTCTATTACAATGTTAGATTGTGACGGGGTAGTTCATTTAGAATGAGGTGAACTTCGACCTCAGGATGAGCTCATAGTCTATGCTGCTACTTCCTTTTTTGTTTGGTTTTGGGGGGGTGGTGTGGTTATGGTGGTTATGTGGGGATTTAATTTTAATGGGGAGTAAGGCGGTACTGTGGTTACTGGAAAAGAACAAAAGAAGAAAAAAAGCAAGGTATGATGGCAGCAACCAGCGTGCTGGAGACTAAACTAGTTGTGCAGCAGCAATGGTGTAAATATTACAGCTAGCTGCCAATAGTGTGAAATGTGAACCACAACATTGCAGCTTACTGCGTCATAGATTTTACTCCCTATCCTTGATTAAAGCTAATAAGGCACGAGCAGAAGGATCTTTATTCTCTTCTTACTCTGTGCTTCAACATGTTGCTGTATGATCACCATTTTCTCGAGTGATATCACTAGAATGATAGGGGACTACCTTTTACCAATTTTTCTGGCCATTTTGCTGTTTTGCCTTTGCCTATACAAACCAAAATCAGCTATCGAGAAGCTTGATTGAAAATTTTGAATCTAGGTAAGAGTGGAAGGATCTGTCGAGAAAGTTTCCAATGAAGAATCTGAGCTGTACTTCCACAGCCGTCCTCATGGAAGTCAGATTGGAGCAATAGTCAGCAACCAGGTATCTTTGGTTTAAATTATTGACGTAAAGCACATAATATTGTAAGCATCCATTTTATGAGACAAACTTTTTTTTTCCCTTCAGAGTTCTATAGTTCCTGGAAGGCAGGTGCTCCACCAACAGTACAAAGAGTTGGAGGAAAAGTTTTCTGATGTGTGAGTTGTGACAATTATTCTAGCATATACCTTCATCATATACGATCAGCTCCATAAGCTGTCTTCTTAGATTTCCAGATTATATGAGCACTCAGAACTGCAGTTATCTGTATGAAAATTTATCTTATCTAATATCGTGTATTTTAAAGATGATCTGGTCTATGCTACTTGACAATGATACCTGTGATGATCTGGCGTGAAGTATTTTTATCCTGTTGCACGTGTATATCACATACGTGGGGTGAAATTTCCTTTCCACTGCATGGGATGCAGGAATTTGATTCCAAAGCCTAAACACTGGGGGGGATACAGACTTAAGCCAGAGCTTTTCGAATTTTGGCAAGGCCAGCAGTCTCGCCTGCATGACAGGTATAGTTTCTTTCTAATCTGGCCTAAGTTTTTCTAATCACATTAAACGAAACTAATGGAAGGTTTTTGGCGAATTGTCAATTTCTAGATGATGATGTAATCACAGGAATCTACATTGGATATTGTCATCTTTGTATTAGTCGTTACTAACTATTTGGCTGTGATCCATTGCTATTTTTGCTGGAGTTATTTTACCTCTTCATGGTTAAAATAAGTAGTCTCATAGGAGTAGACACCTTACTGCATTCCGTTTAGTTGGGAAGCAATCTTGGACTTGATGCCATATTGGTATGGCACTATGGCTACACTTTACGCTGTGTTAACAATGAACAATTAGATAGTCTGTAATAAGGCTCAATGCTATGCTGGCCAAAAGGCACATTGGAATGGGGATTCTTGTGAATAAGAGTAAGCCAGAAAATATTGCACGAGTTCTAATGTGAGCAAATTTTATTAATGAAATGATAAAAGAACCTGTATGGGAGCGTTAGGAATCCCATGGTGCAGGATCTTTTTGCACAGAAGAGAAACTGATGATGTTCGAGTAAATGTTCAAACTATCATTCTTGAATGATAGATGTGTCATGTGGAAGTAATGCCGAGTAAATGAGGCATGCTTGGTTTCGGTTCACACAATGTATTTGGTTGATTGTGGATGGTCTTCTTACAGGTTGCAGTATTGTCCACAAGAGGTCGATGGAAGACGAGTCTGGAGAATTGTTCGACTGGCTCCCTGACTAGCTTCCTTAGCTTCCTCGCTGTGAAATTCATCAATCATGGTATCGTGCCGAATAAATATTACATCCCTTTTAACATCATGGGGTTTGTGACATGAAATCATAAGTTGTTCGCAGGAATGTATCATTCCCTCCCTCTTTCAATGAATCAGCTGCATGCCTCTGCAGATTTTATGTTATTACTATTTGTCTCATTCACTTCTATCATGCAAGAATTAAGTCGAGTGTCCAAAAACAAAAAAAGGAGGATACGTGGTATGTAGATCCGTGTATAACTGATATTTAGTTCTTCTTGGCTCCTTTTCTTTCATGGAATTTACCAATTTGGGAAAATGTTTTCGAAGAAGTCATTTTTTAGAAAATGGCCAAATTTTTCAGTATTTGGTTGAAATCTGCAAAAATGAGTTGGAAGTTATACTGCGCAAGAATTACACTATTTATGTGATATCAAGGTTACACAATCTAATTAATCAAATTTTTTGAATTAAAATGTAATGACACTTACTTTTTGGATTGTAGCTTATTTATTTTCTCTTATGATATTTTAATCAGCATCTTTGCCTTATGGTTGAAATAAGCACCCTACTAGAAATTATTGCATGTTGTGTGATGGAAGCCAATTTATTTTTCTTTGTTTCTCTCTCTCTCTCTCCATATTTTAGTTCACCTGTTTCTTTTCCTCTTTTCCTTTTTTTCTGTGTTACAGCACCTGCACTTTTTTATATGCTATGAAAAAGAATTAAAAACAATGCCAAGAGATCTCAAGTGCCACATATGAACAATAGCACAGGAGAGAATGCTTTAAAGTCTTAAGTTTATTGCTCTTTCAGATTTATTTATTTGGCGAAAAATGAATGATTTAAAAAGATATTTTTTTAAAATAATGACTGCCTGTGTCGATAATAAAAATATTTTTTATTAATTAATTATTTCAAATAATACGATGAATCGTTTTTGAAAAAAAGATAGCCTCAAATTTGAAATCGCCATATGATTGTGAATCCCTTACGCAATGATGATGATTCGTGAGGCGGTGCCACGTCTTTCGGACGATCCCAGGTTGTAAATCAAAATTTTCGAAAGCTGTGGGGCCCCTTCTAATGCAATCAAGCCCGTAATCTCCGGTTTCTTCTTACAAATATCACGAAAAGTCCCAAAATAAAATAAAATAAAATAAACAATTGTTTGAAAAAAAGATGGAGAGAGAGAGAGAGAGAGAGAGAGAGAGAGGGAGAAACGTTGCATGTTCCCATTTCCTGATGATGTACGTTTAGAATCTGAGATCGGCTTGATATTGACCGTCGCATCAGCACCATTCAAACCCTGAGAACGACCCCCACAGCATCAACAACAAACAGCTCGTCATCGCTTCCTCTTCTCCCTCCTCCTTGAACCTTCTCCTCATCGCCCGGCCGCCGATCAATCTCCTTCGCCGATCCTGCCGGAAAACGCGAGCAGCCGCCGCAGCCAAGCCGAGCCATGAGCCAGGCCGAGTCGGATCCGGCTCACCCGCCGAAGCCCTCGCCCTCGCCCGACCCCGATCCCAAGCCCCACTCCTCCGATTACGCGCCCTACCCCAAGCTCGACCCCAACGACGTCGCCGCCCCCCCTCCCGCCGCCGTCCCCGGCGAGGCCCCCCGTGCCCCGATCTCCGGCAGCGCCGCCACCTCCATGCCCGCGGACTCGAATCCCTACATCGCTCAGGCTCCCGCTCCCGCTCCGCAATCGTCTGCCAAGAGTGAGTGTTACCGATTCGTTGCGGTTCCTCGACTCCTCTTTGGATTCGAGAATTGAGGAAGCTGTCGATTGCCTTCTTTGGTTCGTTTAAGTTAGTTTGTTTGTCGGTTTCGTGAATCTGTCTTGATTATGCGCAGATACGATGGATTCGGTGAAGGATGCGCTTGGGAGATGGGGAAAGAAGGCGGCCGAGGCGACTAAGAAGGCCGAGGACCTCGCCGGGAACATGTGGCAGCACTGTAAGTCCCCCTGCCTCTTTTCAGTTCCTTAGAATTGTTGCTTGAGCTCGGGGACGAAAGAATTCTCTGGACCTCGCGAGGGATTTGATGGTGGATTTGGCTATGCCATTCGATATGACCTGATAAATTCATGATTCTCTGCAAGGTCGATACTCGCGATTTCTGATTGACAGTTTTGGTTGGAGTGAGTAATTTTATGTAGAACTTTGCCTAGTAAGCCACCTGATGCAGCTAGCGAAAAAAAGGAAGATCATTTGCTTGCCTATTGCTAAAAAAGAAATTGTTATTTGAACAGTGAAAACCGGCCCCAGCTTTGCCGATGCCGCTGTCAGCAGAATTGCTCAGGGAACAAAACTTCTGGCGGAAGGCGGTTATGAGAAGGTTTTCCAGGCTACTTTTGAAACTGTTCCTGAGGAGCAGCTTCTGAAGTCGTTTGCGTGTTATTTGTCCACGTCTGCTGGTCCGGTGATGGGCACTCTATACTTGTCTACGGCGAAGCTTGCATTTTGTAGCGACAATCCTCTTTCCTACAAATCTGGTGATCGGACTGAATATAGTTACTATAAGGTGCGCATCCTCATTCTAAAATTAAAGCATTATCTTTATTTCCGATGTTGATTTCCATGGTGAGCAATTAAATTCAGTATATGTGCTTATAATGAGGTTGCTTTTTGAAACATGAGGTTTGCATGGTTGTTGCTTATGTATATATACACATGACACACACACACACAATCACTTGCTACTGGTATGTATGTTGGAGATTTCGTACCACTTCAGCATTTGGTCGAGAGGAGAGAGGGCAAGCTGTGGGTTCTTTTCTATGTAAATAAACAATTTTGTCCCACTCTAGTATACAGGAAATGTATAAGGAAAAGTTAAAGTCAGAGCAGCATAAATCCTAAACAAACAAAATCAGATTAGATCAGGGAAGAGTGAAAAGGAGTTGTGCGGGAATTTTTGTTTCTCTTTGAAAAAGGTGGATCTCTTTCTCAAAGCTTCTCTTTTTTATTTTTTTCTTTGAAGTCATATATTCCACCTGATGTATGGACAGCCTTCAAAAGTTTTTTTCTTTACCTGTGAAGTTGAACCTACCTCTTTGAATGATTTCCTCATAGTCGTATTCTGACCAACTAAAGACATAAGAATCGCAAACGGTTGATGTAAATTCTCAATGCACATAAAGATAATAAGCTAGTTTCCTCGCCTTTAGAATCATTTGTCACAAATATGTGATGATATTAGGGAAACTTTGCACTTTTAAAGTTTTGGCTTTGAAGAAGCTGCTAGAAAATTAAAAGGGTGAACTTTATAAAATTCTATTTTAGTTGCTGCTACTGTACCATGAATTAATGAACGAGTTAAGTTTTTAGTCATGATTTCATGTTTGATGTTTGTGAAGATGTGGATGTTTCATCTCGATGCTTTTGTATGCAATTGCTTACAGAGAAGAATAGATGATCGTTTCTGGGGGAGAAAGAGATGAAATCAATGAGATCATCTTGTCATTCCAATTTGCTCTGTCATTTCAACTTCTAGTTTGGCATTTTGGTCAGCTTGATTACTAAGTAGTACTTCCTACTGGAGCAACCCTTTTTTTCTAGGGATGACAATTTGCTTAGCCTCAATGGGACCTGCATGCTAGAATTATCACATTTAAGCTTATTATATGAGAGGGACCGGTATTGACCTACACTAAGTGGGATGGACAGGATATTGGGGTAGGGATGGGCCCAAAAAAAGGATGCTCGTGTAAGATTCACGTTAATGATGTAATTGTGACAAGTTGAGTCTACTTAGTTTATAACTCAAACCCAACTGTACTCAAAAGCTCTTACCTAACCCTGAGCTGGAGTTTGGTGCACTGTCCACCAATGCATCTCTCTACCTCTGTGCTACTCGATTGATTGTTTATTTTTACTTTTGCATATTTGAGGTTTTGTCGTCATAGAAAAATATCCATTTAGTAAATAGTTTTTCTTCTCTTTATCAGTGAAAATTAAGAGTTCTAGATAATAATAAGATGGTTGATTTTCACTCCGGTAGTGTGAGCTTTGCAATCTTTTTCCTTCTTGCAAGGAAAAAAAGGAATTTGAAGGAATTCGTGGTTTGTGGGTGTGAGTCAGTTCAGGGACCACAATACCACACAGCCGGTACATGCAATAAGGTCAGGCCCCGCATGTTGCACAGGTCGGGGCAGGGAACACTTGGTGTGTTAACTAAGTTCTAACCTGCCTGCTCTCTGCCATTGTTAGCCTCTTGCCAAACTGGAAACTTTCTTGTCAGATTGTAAACCTAAGAGTAGTTGATTATTGTGAATGAGGCTGGTGTGGAGCATGTCATAGACCAAACTTTTTTGTCTTGCTTCTAGTGCAAATCTTTCTTTGTGTCATCTCTGGTTATATTTTACGTTTGATGATGCTTTTTCTCAATGTTGTTGATGTTTTGTACCGAACTTAGGTGGTCATTCCGTTGCATCAACTGAAGGCAGTCAACCCATCAGCAAGCAGGGTCAAGACAGCTGAAAAGTACATCCAGGTTATTTCTGTCGACAATCATGAATTCTGGTTCTTGGGCTTCGTTCAGTATGACAGTGCCGTGAAAAATCTTCAAGCAGCAGTACAGCCCAATAGCTTGCATACTGTGTAGCTTATATATATTTATTTGTGGCCTGTGGTGCACCCTGCCCCAAGAGTTATATGCAAACTATATCCTGCACAGTGTGATATGAAACTAGATGCATTTCGTGATGCACTCTGCTCTGATTGGTTAAAATTGTAATGCTTGGTCATTCGGGTACGTAGTTTGTAAGTTTTGTCTGTCATATAGATATTATGAACCGAGGTTAAACTTGAATTTGAAAATTTCAACTGGGTAGATGGTGATGGAATTCCTTGTTGAGAAGAAGGTGCCCCTTGTTCCTTGTTCTTTGATTGTAAAATGAGTCTTCTTTCCATTCCTCTGAAATATTAAATAATGCAATTCAAGTATTTTACTTCTGTGCAGAGTTTACGGTGATGACTTTGTAGAGCTTCGTATTTAATTCATGTTCAGGTTGGTAGTTCTGTGCAATCCCGGATGTGGCAAACTCGGTTACGACTCGACCTGGAAATGACTTTGGAGGTTTTGCATTCGTAGGGTCGATCTTGCATATAAGAGACATGAGAGGCATAAGAAAGAGGATAACGCACCGCTTATGCCCTCTTAATTGTTGTCATCGAATTGCACGAGAAGTAAGCTAGGAATGACATCCCGCATTCTCAAAGTGGCCTTTCACCTGTATAGATTGTACTAAATCTTTTCTAATTCTGAATTGGGCTAAATAACACTAACGCGATTCAAAGAAATGATAAAGTTTGGATGATAAGATGTTTTCTATGGAATATTAATGCTTGTTAAGCACGGTGCTAGTGAGTGTAGAGCCGCTGCTCTTAGTGAGACTACGGATGAAGATGCGAAATGTTCGTCAAGCACCTTACCAAAGCTGAAGCATTCATTTTCACAGTTTGTAATTGTCAAAAGAGAAGGGAAGAACTATACCAAGCACTCAATGCATTTTCAAGTTAGTGGAGTAACAATTCCATTTCCAATATATAGTACATAATAGAGAAAGATGGAAGAGGAAGTGGGGGATGAGAGAGGAGTATATTAGAGAGAGTGGGGGGAGCCGAGAGTATACATAATTGCCTATAAACTATGGTTAGATTTCAATCATTTTCTTTTTCACAGAAGGTGAATTTATGTAATTTCACGTGTAATTTGATAGCGATTATTTTATACCCAAGGGCGAAGAAAAGCAAAATCTAGAAGTGGCACCGCAGCGACACACGGAATTTGACTTCTTCAAGTTCTGTCCATTGATGCGACATGGGTATGGGTAGCACGATTGGGAGACTCTCGTCTTGCCAGCAAGTCGCCCCATTGAATAACGGATCGCAACATCCGTTGGGGTCCATCCAATTGAACGCCCAAAAGTAGGCGGACACAAGGGATTCGAGGTTCTTTGGTTCTCATGGTCTTACAAATTCTCTCCCAATAGTAACTTAAGACTTTATTAAAAGATGGGCTCGCAAGAGGGCCTCGTAAAAGCATTGAGTCGAAATGACCTTACCCTATGCCGCCCATGATACGAAAGGTGTTAAATTTTCTACATAAAATAAGGGGACTTGAACGAGATCGATCGGGGACTAAGTCGGCAGGACGAGGCTCAACAGAGAATACACTTGTCTATATCCATCTAAATTGTGCTTCGCAGTCTTGATGGGGTTAGGCGGCCTAAGCGACCCGTCGAGCCTAGTGGCCGGCCCGTGTTCATGATCAAGGTCTGTAGTAAAACCCTCCGTTCCCCAAACCAACAGGTAGGAAAATGATCACCTTTTTGCTGTCTCCAGCCCCAAGCTTTGAATGGGAATTGATCCGTAATAGAAATATCTCCGGAGCTCCAATTTTTTGGAATCACGACATTGAGGTATTGGAAGGCAATTATTGATACGAGAGAAATGTTCAAATTGGGAACTCTTTTATCAGGTAGGGGATGGTAAGGTGATTGAAGTCGGCAATCATCCTTGGATTCCTCATTGTCCTATACCATTTGCTGGACCCTCTTTTGAAGCTGAGTAAGATAGAGAGCTTCTTTATCATGGGGACGAAAACTTGGGATATAAGTAGTCTGAATAAGGTGTTTTGCCCAACGTCGGTCCAAGCCATTCTTCATATTCATGTTCCGATCTCCATTTGGGTTAATAGACTGATTTGGCAGCCAGCTACTGATGGCATATTCATGGTTAAATCCGCCAACAAGCTCATCAAGTCTCGTACAGAGGATGGTAACAACTCAGAGACTTGGGACAAATTCTAGAAAGCTAAAATTCATGAGCAGCACAAGATGATGTTATGGAGGACAGTGACTAATGTTTTGCCTTATCACGCTAAACTAGGTAGATTGCTTCACATCCCAAACCCTTCTTGCCCGTTGTGTGGTAACTAGGAGGAAAATTCAATCCATATGTTCACAACATACTCCTTGGCCCAGATTTGTTTTGACAAAGATCATGGGGAATCATCTCGTTTGCTTGGAACTTCAGCTTGCCAAAGGACATGGTACACCACTTTCTTGACCCATGACAAATAGCACAAAGAATGGGCATAGACTGCAATCTCTTGACCCTTTTGGCAGCAATTCCATATGCTAAAATGTGGCGTTATAGGAATGCAACATTACATAATCAGTATATTCCAAATCCTTCCCTGGCGGTCAAGCTAGTATCACAAGATTTCATGGAATTTTCGAACATGTTTAGGGAAGGGAACAAAGTCATGAAAAGCGAAGAAGCTGATTCACTGGGGAAATGTCAGAACCATGGCTCTCCCCGCTGGATCAAGGATTGAAGTTCAACGTATATGATACATAGAAGGATAATAGAGGGGCCATGGATATTATTGCACGATTGGCTAGAGGCTCAGATGTCCAAACATGGACAAGACACGAGAGATGGAACTCACCAAAGGAAGTGGAAGCTGCAGCTTTTCTCTTCAACCGCAAATTTGCTTAGGCTCTTGGTATCCACCAAGCGATGCTTAAAAGTGACTGCAAAGTCTTAATTGATGCCATTCAACAAACGGGTCTCTGCCCTTAGAGTATTCGGCATTTTTGTCTCAGACTCTTGCCTTCTACTCCGCAACAACCCGGGATGGAGTCTGACGTGGACTCGCCGACCCAACAATGGCACTGCTTATGAGCTTGCAAATTAGGTTATTCATTAGATAGGAACCACATCTTTGTTTATTTTTAACAATCTCCCACCTAGAGTTAAAAATATGACGTTGGTGGAGTCTTCTTTGCTTTATCGTTTTAATTCAGGTATCGGATTTCCTTGTAATGTTTGACTGTTTTGTTCGAAAGGAAAGTTTGTCCCAGCAAGAAAAAGAAAAAAACTTCAAGCTTTGGATCTAAAATGTGACGATGCCCATCCAGATCCTGCAACTTGAATCCATCATATGATGGGCTGCGAGTGGGTTCAAATACTCCCGATACAGGTAATAAGGGTACATGTAGTGACTTCTCAAGGTTCATGGTCTTTTTGGGCATGGGCATGTCCTTAAAAAGTTTCATCCGGACTCCGGGATGTTAAAATAAGAAGGTATTCCAGTCCTCCTCCTGAAAGAAAAAACACACAGAGGACTGAGAGGAGGGACAAGGGGTGTGCAAGTAGACCAGCCGCCGGATCATTAAACAAGACATTGCAGCCTGCACAAGTGGCAACACCCTTCCTTGGTGAGGTACTTCCAATACAAGTAATAAGGGTACATGCAATGACTTCTCAAGGTTCGTGGTCTTTTAAGGTTCGTTCGAGCACAACTTATGCTTAGTCTTTGCCTTCAGTCAATCGAATTCTATTCTAACTTCTGGCCCCAAGAGTATTGTTTCAGTTAGAATGTGAATCGGGAGCGACATAAATAAAAGTTTTTCCCCTTCACCATTGACCTCAGGGCTGACCGGCAGACCATTGGAACCGTCAATCACGTCCACCTAAAGCAATATAATACTTTCATATCAAAACAATTAATGAAGCTCAAGCAGTAGAATGAAAGAAATACATGAAGGCTGACGCTTAGGAATTGACCTCCTATCAGACCTACCAAATAACAAGAGCTTGCGGAGTCTTTCTGTACTCATTCTGAGAAGTTTCCATCCTAGGTTCGTTTTATGAGTTTTTTATGTAGCTAGCAAGGATCACCTAGAGGGGGTGAATAGGTGATCTTAACCAATTTTTAATAATTTATGCGGAAACAAAATAAATCACAGAAGAGTCTGAATAAAATTCAGATTCAAGACAGATTATATAGACGGTGCTTTTGATGTGCAGAATGTAAAGTAAGAGATAAGGGATAGAGAATCTGCACACAAGTTTATAGTGGTTCGGCTTATAGCAAGCCTACGTCCACTCTCCCACGCTTACAGCTTACCGGCTGGATTTCACTATGTAATTAAGAGGAATTACAACTTCTGAGTGTTAACACTCTTGTGTATGATAAGACTCTCTATCTCACACAATCACTCTTACAAAGTATTCCTCAAGATCTTAATATTTTGCTCAGAACGACAAGAGAAATGATTGGAGTATGCTCAGACTTTGGACTTGTTGATTCTTGATTCTGTATCCCTTCTGCTGCTCGTTGATCTCCTTAAATACTCCTCTACTAGCCGTTGGACAGCTTTCAGAGGATCATCTTCCAATCTTCACTTTGGACAGATTTGTATAATAAGGATTGAGTAGCCGTTGGATGACAGATTCTGAATCCCGCTGATTCTGATCGCCCATACAATCAGAATCTTGGTTTCCATAAGTAGAGCTTTGTCCGTTGTAATGCATTCTTGTCTTGATGTTTGATTGTCAATCAATTTGATTGAGATTGAGACAATCAGAACATTCCTCCTGTGAAATCCATGCCAGATCACTAGCTGTTGTGTTTCGTTCTGAATTCTGCGTCTGAAGAAATTCTGCGTCTGAATAATTTCTGCGTCTGCGTCTGCATCTGAATAACTTCTGCTTCTGCATTTGCATATGAATAACTTCTGCGTCTGAATCTCAGAACCTAGATTATGTGGGTCTTCATAAACATACTTGACAGTTTGTAAAGTCTGAATAATTTCCTTCTGACTTTCCAGAACATAAATACCTGGAATAAATTAGTTCAGAATAAGTATCAGACTTATAATTATATGGAAGGTTTTGTCAACTTCAAAATTAATAGGAGTTTTCCTCGACAGTTTTTACTTTCTATAAAGGAAAAGACACTCTGTGATTTTCTTTTGACGCGTCAATTTTTTCTTTTTCCTTTTCAAGATTGTTAATGGATCGAACCGGACTAAAGATGCACTGCTGAAATTTCATGACGTGATTAAAAGTTTTGAAAATCCCGGTCGTATCGGGTTTAGTTACTTTCGCGGGTTTGAACTCCTCCATCATCTAAGGTGGGGTTTCTAGTCAGTCTATAAAGTGCTAGTAGTATATTGACTTGAAGACTTGTAAGCATTTCCTGTCTGCTATTCTCCTCCGAATCATGTCGTTTTTACCGGCATTGACGGAAGCAATTGCACAGTAAGTCGAGAAGAACCCTCATTTTCTCCTCTCACTAATCTTCGTTTCTCACATCTGTCTCCCAACGACCCCATTATTTATATTAAACGACCTGGTAATCCCATTTGGGAGAAATCAAACTCCACAAAAATGGGAACAGAAAACATGACCATTTCTCATGTACATCGCGGTCTACTGTAAATGTAACCGAAGCTTCACCGACTTGTGCACGGTGCAGCGTCATCCGCTTGATACTTCATCCAGGAGTTTATACCTTCTGACGACTCTGTTGCTCCTTAATACCGCCCGCTTTCTGATGCCAATGCCAACATTGCTGTCTGCCTTTGACCGCCCCTCTTCCTTCTTCCTTCTGCTCTTCTCTTCCAAGTCGCCATTGGAGATGATCCTCTTTCGGGCGGTCAGAGCCAAGCTCTCCGGCAGCTTCTTCTGTTTCTTGGCACGCAGAAACCGCAAAGACTTAGTCGATTCGCCTTTCGGGTCGCCATGATCATCACGGCAACCTATTTTTCTGCCGTTGTTATTTCTCTTCTTGCTCTTCTTATTGCTTTCCTCTTCGCAAGTGCCGTTCTTGAGGGACGACAAAGAATTTGAAGTTTTCTTCGACTTGTCCTTCATGGAGGTTCCATCCTGATTTTCAGCCAGACACCAGTTGCAAACTTGGTAGGACTTGGCCTTGGGGTAGAGATTGCTACAGTACCTACATTTTTCTGGGGTGTTTAATGACCACTAAAGTTTTGGCAATATACTCGATGAAAAGGGAAAAAGAAAGGTAAAGATCAACGATCAAGAATTGAAACCCTTTTGCGCATTAGTCCGTGTTAAGGTCGTGGTGGGCAGAGAGAGAGAGAGAGAGAGACCTGTGTTGAGACCTGAAATGGCAAATCTTGCACTGAAGGAGCTCCTCAGCAAATCCGTGATCCCCACACATGCAACACTCGTTGCTCGTCGTTGTTGAGGTTGCGATGCCAACACTTGTCATTCCCTTTGCCTCGTCCTTGTGTTTCATTATGGAGAGAGAGAGAGAGAGAAGAAAAGAAAGAGAGAGGGAGAGAGGCCACAAGTTTGTTTGATTGCCTTTTCTCTCTCACATATATTTATGTTGGTATCGTTTTCCATGTCGATCGCGTGTGAAAGGCAATAATCTTATAAGTTCTTGGGTCTTGCCACGAAAGGAAGGTTTAATAATTGACGCAGGAGAAAGCATTACTTTCCTGGCAAGTTCTCATATAAAGAAGCAACTTATTCGCCTACCACAACTTCGAGATTTTGTTCTCTCCGATTCCATCTTTAGTCGGACAATTAAAACTCGCGGATGCTCCACACGCGGTGTTAGGACGTTGACAATTGTGCCCAGAAATCTCCATTCATTTTGATAAATATCCCTTCGTTACATCCCCATATCAACATCTCTGGCGTCGCTTGTGAAACCAGTGTCGCTCGTCGGTAATGGACAAAATAGAAATGGATAGAAAACACAGCGAAATGGAAATGCTACGGAGTTTTTGTACAATCTCCCGTGTTCATGAGGCATTGCAGAAGCATTCTCCTTCTTTGCAATATTCCCATTCTCCCCCGGTGTACGAAGAAAGCTATACACCTTGGGGACTATTTGCTCATTGTCACCCTTGCATGTTACCCGGACGTCATCGATAACATCCGTAAGGATTGCACATATGAGTTGTATTATAAAAATCCTACATCGGAGAATTGGCCTGGTGTGAAACAGGCCTAGTTGACCAATTACTCAAACTTTTAAATGAAGGCGGGTTCAAAGTTAACAGGCTCAGGATTCGACTCCCTTTTGGCGATCTCTCTGGAAGAAGGTATTGAACTTCTGCTGCACGCTCCCAATAATCTTTAGGGTTAGTCAAGTTCTTAAGTCTCAGACATTAGGCTGTATTACTCGGAGGCTCCTGCCCAGTAGTCAGTCATCTCTTTGCGACGAGACATCGGTTATGAGCCTATGACTACATAGGCTTGATTTAGATGCTTTAAGAAGACTAAACTTGCCGTATAACGTAATGAAAAGTTATGCAGATTCCACGAGTATGTGCCCCGCGACATTACTTGCAAGGTTATAATTATAAATCAGACGATGCAAATAGAAATTTATGCACAGTGAATTTCGTAATTGGGTAACTTCGGTGGTGGATGATATTTGTGCAGGAAGAAGCCCATACATGTGGAGTTGACTCCGTTGCTCGTGAAAGCGAAGGTCTTTTGGCCAATAGGGTCAAAATAGCAATCACTGACTTTAAGGGTTCTCTTTACACTTTGTGTTGCCATCATTGACGTTGTCTCGATGATGACCCTTCATAAGATGCGTGGAAGAAATTTCGTCTCTTTTACGTGGATCCGATGTGGGTTTTCTTCCTTCTTTTTCTCATTTTGAGCAAAGGAAAATTGTCCAAAAAATTTTGAATCTATTTCGTATTTGCCAATTCAATCTTAAACTATTTAATTTTGCAAATTGAGTCCTAAACATTTTCACGTTTTACCAATTGAGTCCATCCGGCTCATCTTGGTCGGAAATTGTTAACATGAACGCCTGCCGTCCTACGACACGGTCAGTGCTAACGTGGATATTTTTCTAATAATACTTTAATATTTTTCTTTTTCTTTCTTTTCTTTTCTTTTGTTTTATTTTCTTTTGTTTTTCTTTTACACCTCACCGGCCCACAATTGCTAGCCACAGGCGAGGGCCAACGACCCTCACCGGGTATGGGCAAGGGTGTTGCAGCCCCCGCTTGGATCTGGCGAGGGCCGCGACAAGGTCAATGTCCTCGCTAGGCAAGGGTTGAAACACCCTTGCCCAGACCAGGCGAGGGTGAGGGCCACAAGGCTCTCACCGGCCAGAGGTCAGCCCTCACCAACCAGAGGTGTAACAAAAACGAACAAAACAAAATAAAATAAAAACTTATTAAAAATATCCACGTCAGTGTCGGCCGTGTCACGTAGGACGGCCAACATCCACGTAATCAATTTTCGTTCAAAATTGGCTGAATTGACTGAATTGGCAAAACGTGAAAAGATTCATGACTTTTTAGACAATTTTCCCTTTGACTAACGATGTGTTGGACTCATTCTAACCAACGATTATCTTTATTTCTTCTTCTTCGATTCTGTTGGAGCTCAGTGATCGCTCTTTCTTGATTATAACGTGGCAACTATTGAAATCGTAAGCTCTTAAAAGTAAGTTTGGACCCTTTCAATACGCTACTCGTTTCAGTCCAAATCAACACGCCACGTACCTGTCATTCTTAGACCATCAAAATACCTTCGGTCGCACAAGGCTAGAACTTCCGAATTGTCAACGATGGGGCGATAGCTCCGATGTATCTCCATACTGCAGAAAACAGCGAACTCTAAAGGGCTGCGAAGTCGAGATCAGAAGGAAAGAATGAATTTTCCTATGCACAGGAAACAGGGACGACTGCCCACAACTTGCTCAGGAAACAGTCCGTAAGTATGCTGCTAGAAATCAACAGCATATAACCAATGGAACGCTGGCCTCATCATCTTAGAACAATGGTAAACTTGAGCATTTGAATTTCGACCGTAAGTGACCCAGAATCATGACCACATTTTGAACCACCAACTATACTTTCGGGATTAGGAGGGAAAAGTACTTTGGGTGCAACGGCCAATATGCTGTCATTGACCGGTCACAATGCTCGCGTCATATGTTTATCATCTTATATGATGCTTAAATTTTAGTCACTTAATTGTTATTGGCTTCACAAACCGCATGTCCTTGTCACGTGTTATAATGACGCGCGATTTGTTAACTTCTACAATTAATACCTTAACTCGCATGGTTTCGCAGTTGAGTCCTCAAAATTTTAGTCTACGCAATTGAACCCTGCTCTTGCAGAAGTCGTAAAATGTAATCTTCTATGTCTTGTACATCCTTGATGGGTGTTTATGTAGCTCTTTACATGGCAAACTCGAAGCCCTCGGCTTAGACTGCCCTAATGAATCCTAGGCCCGAAAGAAAAACCAGATTTGAGTAGTACCTCAACGCCTTGCTTGCCCCATTTCGAGTCTCTTTGAAGGCAAACGGTATCTGAATCATTCTGAATTCGTTAGTACCACTTAAATCGCTATGTTGAAACTGTAACCACATTTAACGCACGCGCACAAAGTGATGCATGTATATTTCAACAAAAAACCATCATTAGAACAAATAGCTGATCCAATTTGGTTTCAGAAGTACGTATTTCAGCTCATTAGACACCGCATCTAGTCACGCAAATAGTCCGCTCCTAATGCCATTGCTCATCATACAGAGGCCGTGTACACCACAATAATGCAGACAGACAACTAAAATGGACATCGACATAAGCGAACACAAGTAATTAAGACGGAGGAATTCACTTGAAGATCGCATCACTCGAAAGCCGCCGAAAAGGTCATCCTGACTACACCTTTGCTAATCATCAGTAAACCATCACTAACGATTACTTGAGAAGCAAAAACTATACAAATATACATGCGACATAGATAGAAGGATTGCTAGATACATAGAGATAATTTAGGAGGGAAACAAAATAAAAACAAAACACGGGACGGAACCAGAGACTTGTGGCAAATGAGTTTCGAGAGAGAGAGAGAGAGAAGCAAACTAAGTTTATTCAACTTCTGCTGTATAGCTCGACATGATGCAATTTGTTATCATCCATGTTGTGTGTTTCTCCTTCTCGAGCTTTGCTCCTCAAGCTTTATTACAGAAACCATTCCGTCCCTTCTGTCGAAAACTACAGCTGAAGTATACATCCAACTATACTTTCTCCCTGAGAAGCCCCGATAAATATAGAAGGCATGAGATTGAGATAGAGACCTGGATAAGCTGAGACCATCAACAGCGGGAGAACAAGGGCACATGATAAGTGAGAGAAGCGGGACAGGGAGACCATGCGACAATCATTCATCACTATAGATAGAGTAATATATGCAAAACAGATTGATTGGATGCAACGTTTCAAGCATTTTACTTGGTTGGAAAAATGCAACCCTTTACGCAAATTTAGAGCACAAGCTGGTCAAAGTGTTAATACTGTGAACGATGAGTTCACTTCGTGAAAAAAAAAAAGGGCTTCACCTACAATAGGATTAATGAAATTGACCCACCGCAAAAATAAATCCTGGCAGACCTTCAAGCTATAAATGAGAATTAGTTAGTTGCTCATCATAAAAGGCAAAACCAGAAAAGCACAAATAAAATAAATAATGCATCCCGGACCCAACAACTTCGAGGCGTACGCTCATTGCCTTTTAAAAAACCTAATTAAGTACTGAAAATGAAGATATTCAGCATCATAAGATGAAGCAAGTTTGATACTCACAACTTGTTTTAACTTTAAAAAACAAAAAATTGAAGTCAAGAATTTACTTCATGTGTTAAGAGAAGTAGTCATAATTCAATCAATATAAAAAGTAGTAATGAGAATTAAATCTTACTACTTATATTGCTAAAACCGCCGATAACGTCCACAAAAACAGTTTTGATAAGAAATTAATCATACTCACCATGTAAGTTTCAACTACTGTCAAAGAATTTTTAAATTCTATTTTCAGTGCTAAAGTCTAGTGCTTAAATTTAAAACACTTACTTTTCAAATTTGTCAATCAAGCCAGTTACAGCAAATAAGCAAACTTCAGAACATGGGAGTAATGGCTTACATACCTCAGTTGCTCTTAACTTTGGGCACATTCAGCAGACTCATGCATCCTAAACCGCTCGAGGATTTCAAAGGGCCTGCAAGGAAGAATTACATGAAGGAAAAATGAATCTCAACAAGAAAAGTGAAAAAAGTAATTTGGCCAAAACAAAAACTAAGACTCCGCATCTAGCCGATGAACAGGTGTGTGTAACCCAAAAAGAATGGAACTACCAGTGCGACAAACTTTTACTATTTCTAGGAGTTAATCAATTTTTGCTAAAGCAAAATGATTTTCTATTCCATTAAATCTAGTTAAATCTAATTTAATAGAATGAAATCATGTCACCCCTGTGACAAAGATCTAATAAAGAAAATGCATGCCTCTTATTGAATAGTAATAAAGACGTAAGTCGGGGTTATGAGATTAGCAGTCCCATGTTGCATGGACTAA